CACTCCTTACCCCAGAAGCGGCGTTCTTTCAGCAAACACGGAGAAGGCTGTAGGGCAGCTTCCCTCCTTGGGGAGTCCTCTGAGAAGGACCCTTGAGACTTTCAGAGCCTGAGTTTCTTACTTCTAGTGGTGGACTGTGAAGAGATGACTTTGGCTTCTTCCCATTCCGTTTGCTGTTGAACAGTGTTTCCAGTCCGCCAAATGATTTCAGCATCTGCATTTCAAATGGACGGGTTTTAATGCTGCCAGCCCCCTGCTCCAGCTCTGGGTACTGAGACTCCTCCACAGGCAACTCTTCTGATTTCTCCTTCCCCTCACTCCTTTAATTCTTCTTTCTCTTAGGGTTCTTACTTGCAGCTCATGGTCTGAGAATTGAATAAAGCCACAGTGGTGCAGCAGTGAGTGAAGGGCAGGCGGGGAGGGAGTTGAGTGTGCTACTCATCAGTTTCACACTTGGTTGTCACAATTTACTGTATTTTTTACTTTTTTTTTCTGTTGCAGTTTTGCTAATTTATCAGATGGTCCAAATGTTTTGACATAACTATTTCAGTTTGCATTATTTATTTATGATGCTTTTTGTCATTGTCTTTTATACATTTGGGATTATAAATTATGTACATGTTAAAATTAGCATCTCAAAGAAGTCTGTTACCCGTGGTCAAAAAAACAGCTGGTTTATATTTTCGCAGAATTTATTCCCAGTTTACTGGATTGGATGATTTTTTAAAGGATTTAGCTAATCATAATGCAATCCTCCTCCCCCCAATAATTGTGTTCTATTTAATAACATTCTTGTAGCATAGATACTGTATCACTATTGACAGATTTCTTAGAAATGCTGCTATCTCTATTTAACTAACATTTTGTTCCGTTTTTGCCTCCAGTGGAAGCAGAAAGGGTTTTTTCAGCTGTTAAATCCAAAATCAATATAATTTATTTATGTAAAAAAAAAGTCACGATTGATATATTTTTGAACCTTTTAAGTACTAACTTTGTTTTTATTCAGTGGAAGAACATGTACTTGCCCTAAATCCTTAAAATACAAATGCTATAAAACTTCATATATCTTCAAAGCCTTACTGTGAATGGATACAGAAATCTCTTCCGAGTCCATTTCTTGTTATGGGATGATTTTTCCAGGGTTACACGCATAAGGAACAGGGTCTAAAGTGAAATTTATTTAATTAGCCAGCATGCTCTATACCTTGTTCTTCCTTAGCAGACATGTATGCTACGTCTCTGGGTGTTTAGGCTTCTCTTTGCTACTTTGTGACCCTTTTGCAACCCGATATACTCTGTGGATTATTTAGACTGTAAGGCGTTAAGTGGCTGCTTCTTCTTTTCCATCATGTCCCTAACAAACGCCAAATTTTCACTGGTTTTCATGGCTATTCACACACATACATCCTTCACAAAATGTGCTAACAAAATAAACTGTCTGTGCTCTTGAACATGGATAAAAAGAAAAATATTTAAAAGTCAGATTTTTATTTTTTTAATTTAGTGACTAGATGATGCTTATCTTTCAGACTTGGGAGAGCCTTGCTACAGATGTATATAATTTTTTTCAGCAAATATATGTGAATGTTTAATTCACCTGACTCAGTGATAAACGTGACTTGCCTTTTTCTCAGCATGATCCCATGAGAAGCTGTTGGAAACAGCAGCCTGGTTGCTGCTCTAGGCTGCTCCTGGTGCCCTGTGTGTTGCTCTGCTGCTCGCTGTCAGGGGCCGAGCCTGCACCTCCCACAGCACCCTGGCTGAACTCCAGCCTCAGGGAACTCCTGTTCCACGTGGTTTGCAAGATGCCAGGAGCAGCCCGAGCTCCAGGGACAGTTTAAAGCACAGGATGCACAAGGGCTCTCTGCTGACCTGCTCTTCCCACAAGGGTGGGTGGAAGCCCAGAGACGGCCACAGCCATCACACACACCCCACCCTCCAAGCAGTTACACCCCTTGGCATGTGCACTGGGGCTGCTGCGCTCCTCTGCCTGCACTTTCTGCACCTCCAAGTTTTGTGAAATGCTTGTCCTAAATCTCTGTGTAAGGATCTCAGGCTTTAGCAAAGCAGGCATTCGTCATTGTTTCATCAGAATGATGTGCAGGACCAGCTCCATTCTTCCAAGATCCAGGAAAAAGGACACAGAGTAAAACCAGTGCTTTTACTGCTCCACCTGCCCTGTGTAAGCACCTTGTCCTGGTATTTTGTTGCTCCTTTGGGGTAGAAAAAGAGAAAAGTGTCCTGCAGAAAAGACAAACGGTGGCGTGAACTGTGAATTTCCAGTTCCAGAGTCTCTCTTTAAAATCTGGCTCCACACACTGCATCATCCTTGCACCTGGGCATCCATGATGCAGGATATTTGCTGGCAGAAGTTGCAGCAGGAGGGCCATGGAGGAGCTTTGGGCTGTCACATCAGTGGTGGCTGCAGTGTCTGTGTCTCTTCAGCCAAGGTGTGCTGCCTGCTGGTGGCAGTGAGCGGGTGTGGTGCAGGATGGGCACTGTGGGCACAGCCTGCTCCCTGTTGTGCTTTACAGGATACAGGTGCCCCTTCCTGGAGAGGGAGTGAAACAGGCACAGCTGCACATCCCTGCTGTCCTTGCCTGGTTTTTATCTGGCAGACACACAGAAGTCTCATCACACATTTAGACAGGATCTCTAATTCCCTTTATGATCACAAAAAGGGGGGAAGAATTTTCCTCAGGACTGAGCCATGGTTGGGGGAGCTTTACTTACCCCGCGTGCAGATGTTCCCAACTCTGGGCTCTTGACAGTTACAAGAAAGGATTTGTGGTTGGAAGTCTTGGCCAGCAGTGAGCAGAAGGCAGTTTCTCTAATGACATCTGTTTTTTATTGAAACTTAAGCTTTTCAGTGCAGTTTTTCTCCTCACCTCTTCAGGAGCCACTTCAGCCCCAGGGCTCTGGAGCATGGGTTGAGTCACGAGATCAAATGTGAAGAATCTCCTCACATTTTACATCCTCAAAGCACTTTCTGGTAAAGTCCCCACATGCTTCACGCCCATGGGCAGTGCCCAGCTGCCCATGGCACCCGTGCTTGACCATGAGCACCAGGCAGGCAGGCAGTGCTGCCAGGAAAGTGCTGCCAGTGCTGCAGAGCAGCAGCTCTGGAAAAGTGGAGGGAAGAGAAATCCAGCTTCTCTCTCATTCCCTTGCCATCAATCTGCACAGTGTGCCCTGTACATTTGGACAGCAGGCCTAGGAACATCATCCTCACCCTCCCAGTGGCTTTTTGGAATGCTGGTTGTTTCATGGTGCTCACAGGGGTGGCTGAAGGCTATACGTGCAGTGCCATAGGTGGCACTAATTCCTGAAGAATCAAGGTTTCACCTCACGAGGTATAAAACAATGCAAGATCTTCAGCCCAGCAGAAGATCAGTCCCACTCCCCATGTGGCCTTGTTCTTCCTCCCGTGGGATTTTAATTCATTAACAACTCCAGACAGCACCACTACCTGGTTCCATTTGTCAGTGGTCTGGATGGGATGTGATGTTCCTGGTTTAACTTGGAACTCCCTCCCTGCCTACCTGAACACATCAGTTCAGGCAAGCCCAGCATGAGCCTTCAGAGGGTTTCAAGAATTAGCAGTGTCCTGGACCTGCTGCAGGAGCAGCTGAGAGGAGTGAGAGCCACGGCAGATGCTCCAGCCTCTCTCTCCGGGCTCCTGCCAAGCCTTGGTTGTCAAGTTTCTCAGCTGGTCGTGCTATAGCACAGGGAGACATTGTACAGGAATTGCCTGTACTCTTTGGAAAAATGAAATTTTAAAGGAAAACCTGCCAGTGACTTTTTTTCCTCTCCAGAAAAGGACAGAGATTTCTGATAGAAGAAGAGATGCACGAAGAACAAAGCTTGGCTCACCTTGAGGAAGACACATCTCTCCAAAAGGAATAAATAAGCCTGTGGGCCCCAAAGCCTCAATATGAAATCCTCAATGAAATACATTTCCTGTCTGCTTATGACAGGCAGTTTGCAATGCTCTTATGGCCAATATTTTTCCACATAGATTTAGATGGTGGATTAAGGCTGGTTTTTATGGAGAGTAATGTTTTGGAAAGCACGGAGCTGATCTGATTCTCGGTGAGGGACTGGCCCTACCAGCCTGCGGATCCCACAAGCTGATCCCTGCGCTTTGCAGAAGGGCATTTTCAAGAAAACCAACCCCAGGATCTGCGCGTGGGGTCGGACGGAGGCCGGGGCAAGGCAGGGGCTGCCGAGTGAGCGGGTGCGGCGGGGCCGGGGCCGGAACGCGCCTCTGGGCATCCTCCAGGTACCGGGGAGGGGGATCCGCCGCACCGGGCGCTCGGCGCGTTCTCCGTCCCTCGCTGTCCCGGCAGGAGGGAGGCGGTTCCGGTGTCCTCCGGTGCCAGGCGGGCGCAGAGCCCGTTCCCTCTCCCCGAACCAGCGCTGCGGACGCTGCGGCACTCCAGCCCCTTCCGGAGGTGCGGGAGCCGCTCCCCGCAGCCACGGGGGCGGGCGGGGTCCCCACAGCCCCGGCTCCCGACGGACGCGAGTGCTCCCGGGGGGCTCCGCCCATGGGCGCCGGTTCCGGTGAATCCGGCACCTGGAATCGCTCTGAGCGCCCGCCGCCACCGGCACCGAGGCGGGGCCACGCCACGAGGGACAGGGAGCGCGGCCCGGGAGCGGAGCGGCTCCCCGAGGCCGCCGGAAAGGTGCAGCCACGCGTGTCCCGGGGCGCTGCGGGCCGAGGAAAAGCCGCTCCTGCCGCGGCCCCGGAGCCGTGCGCGGGAATGGGCCGCGAGCACCCGCCTGCAGACGGGAGACGATGGCTGACCCCGGACGGCACCGGGTGGCCCCGGGGAGCACAGCCTAACCCCGGGCAGCACAGCCTGATCCCGGGCGGCACCGGCTGACCCCGCCGGCCGCCACCGCCGTCCCCTGCGCGTGTTCCCGTCCCCGCCCCCTCCCCCGCGCCGCGGCGGAAGCGGCCCCGCCCTTCCGGCGGTTTTGGCGCGCGCTCCGCCGCCATGGTCCGCCCGGGGGCCGCCGATCCCGGTGCCGCCGTGGAGCGGCTCTGCCGGGAGCTCAACCTGGACGCGGCGAGCGCGGCCGAGGCGCTGCGCGACTTCACGGCGCTGCGGGGCACCTACAGCCTGGAGGTGAGCGGGGCCGGGCGGGCGGGCGGGCGGGCGGGGACGGGCGCCGTCCCGCCCTGGCCGAGCCCGCGGGACGCGGCGCTGCCCCGGTGACGGCGGCGCCCGTGCCCGCAGGGCGAAGCGCTGCACTGGTTGGCCTGCGCGCTGTACGTCGCCTGCCGCCGGAGCCGCGTGCCCACCGTGGGGAGCAGCCCGATGGAGGGGAACGGCGTCTCCCTGACCCGCATCCTGCGCTCCGCACGCCTCAGGTGAGCGCCGCGGGCCGGGCTCTGCCGGTGCCAAGCTCCGGGAGTGCCGAGCCCTGCCCGCCCTGCTCTGCCCTGCCCTGTCCCTGCCCGTGCCCTGCCCTGTTCCTGCCCCTGCCCTGTCCCTGCCCATGCCCTGCCCTGTCCTGCCCCTGCCCTGCCCTCCCAGAGCCGCTAGCCCAGGTGCCGCTCCTTCGCTCCCAGCGCTGCCAGCCGCGGCGGGCTTAAAGCAGTAAATCCGCTGCTATTACAGATGGAAATCAGATGCAAACATTAATTTCCAACTTCAAGCCTTCAGGAAAGCACCTGTGTCGGACCAGCAGCTGTTCTGCACACGCCAGTTGTTTCTCTCGGTAGTTAATTTTACCACAAACATCTCGGCGTGTGCCATCCCGGTACAAGGTGTGTCTGGCTCAGGATTCAGGCCAAATCCCGGCGCAGTGCTGGTTTTTCTGGGAACACAGCACTGCTGATCACAGAACTCACCTTCTGCACGGCCCCCGGCGCAGCTGCCCTGGGGACACGGGGCCGGAATGTTGCTCTTGCTCGTTCCATTTAAAGACCCCACTTCACGCTGAGCTGCTGGAGGGGTTGTGAGTTATTTACATCCTCAGCTGACAGGTGTTTGTGCAGGTAGCTTTGACAGGCATCTACTCTTGGCTTGTGTTGTTGCCTGTCCTGCCTCCACCTGCACTTTGCTGCCCACCCTGCCCTGCTCTGTACAGCCATGCTGGCAGCCTGCACACCAATTTAATGTTCCCGTGCCTTAAAGAGGGTCAAGGAGAAATCCCAGAGTGATAAAAGGCAAAAAGCTGATAAAATATGGTTTGGGAGTCTTATCAAAATAAATTGTAAACTCACATAGTGATTATGTCAGTCTTCAAAGGAGTGAGTATGTTGCATTTTGGCTTTTTAAAATTTTAGAATCAAGTTAGTTAAAGCTCAAAACAGACTTTTCTTTTTTTCTTTTAAGTTTAATTCAGTTTTTTAGCAAAATGAAGAAGTGGATGGACATGTCAAACCTGCCCCAGGAATTCCGAGAGCGAGTTGAGAGGCTGGAGAGAAATTTTGAAGTGTCAACTGTGATTTTCAAAAAGTTTGAACCAATATTTTTTGATATATTTCAAAACCCTTTTGAAGAAACTTCCAAACCGCATCGAAGCAGGAAGCAGAGGTATTTTTTAGGTTTGATGTGACTTTTCCCTGGAAAGAAAAGGAAGACTTTTGTCTAAAGTATTGTTAGACTCAATACAAGTTTATGAAAATTAATTTCCAGAGTGATGGTGTCCCTCTGACTGTGAAATGCAGCCAGTGCAGAGCCGCCCCTGAGGTCAGTGGGTGCCGCTCAAGCCAGCTGGGCTCCCCATGCAGCTGCTGTTACACAGGAGCTGTCCCACAGTGAGGTGTCAGGGCGTGCTGGGGACAGGTACCATGAGGTGGGTTAGCTCCAGGGTACAGTGAGATCAACACTTGAAACGTTTGGCACAAATAGCTGAAAAGCACAGGAGTGTTTTGTGTTGGCACAGTGCTGGCTGGGGGCTGGTGTCACACACAGCATGGTCCCCCTGCTCAGGGCTGTCACATCCCTGTGGCCTCCACGCTGCCGTGCTTGCCAGATGAGTGGGAGCACAAATGGGAGGAGGTTACAGCTGATGTGCTCATTTTTATGACAAATTTGGGAACCTGTGGTGTCATCTTTGACACACACATGGAATGTCTGCCTTATTGAAAGGAGCTGATCCATGCTCCCTGCAAGGATATGTGGCTGTGACAGCTTTGTAGGGAGATTGTAACCCTGGGGATGAGGGAGCCAAGCTGTGGGTCTGCAAGGTGTTTTTGTCAGTTTATGTGAGTTCTGTGGATGTGAGGGGGGATAATTGTTGTGGTGCAATGCTCCAGTGTAGCTCCACAGGCAGAGTGCAGGGGAGGTGCTTTGTTGGTGTTCCTTTCACAGAGCAGTTTTGGTTGGTGCCACTGCGGCTTTGGCTGCTCTGTGGGTTGAGTCATGTCCTCCTTGGTCTTCCAGCTCCATGGGCTTGGATAGTTCTGCTCCAAACAGGAGTCAGCAGCTGAGCTGTAGTACAAGCTATAATTGCCTGTTCTGAAGGGATGGCTGATGCTTTAGTAAAATATTTTGGAAAAACCATCACTGGAATATATATAGCCTTTGTCACCTCCCCACGTGTGGCTGTAGGAGGGTTCTGTGGAAGGTGTGACACCAACAGAATAGTGTGGGAAGGTCAGAGGCCAGAGGCAGCCTTTGGCTTGGGAACAAGGTTGGGAAGTTGTGGATGTGTGCAGGACACTGGAGCTAGGTCAGGCATTGTCTGTCAGGCAGTGAGAGCTGAACTCAGGACATGCAGCTTACACTGTGCCTTAATGTGAAATTAAGACAGCAGCTCCAGCTGCTGTTCTGAGCAGGGAAATGGAATGAAACTTGAACTGTAGAACAAGGTCTGGCTTCCTGGAACTGAAGAGTAACTTCTTCCCCTGTTGTTCTTGTTGACAGGCGGGTGCCATGCAGTGTCAAAGATCTCTTCAACTTCTGCTGGACTCTCTTTGTGTACACTAAGGGTAGGCTGCTTGCTTTGCCTGCATGGTTTGTATACATTCCCAGCTGTGAACTTCTGTTGTGTTGCTTGACGTGATGTGCTGTCTCTTAAAGGTAATTTCCGTATGATTGGAGATGATTTAGTAAATTCCTATCATTTACTTCTGTGCTGCTTGGACCTGATTTTTGCCAATGCCCTTCTGTGTCCAAACAGAAGAGATTTGGTAAATCCATCATTTAAAGGTATGGTGGGGATAGATTATTTACAATCGACTGTGCTTTGTTCTCTTGGCTCATTTGAAGTGAAGTTGAAGGTTGGTTGTTTTCCCCCCTCCTGGCTCCCAGGCTTACCCGTGGAATCCCTCACTCTGGAGATGAAAGGCTCTGAGGATCCTCCCTGCATCATTGGCACGCTCTGCGAGCTGCACGACGGGCTCCTGGTGGAGGCCAAGGGCATCAAGGAGCACTACTTCAAACCTTACATTGCAAAGCTGTTTGATAGGAAGGTACATCTTGTGAGTTTTATCAGCGCTGGCTGGTGCTCCCTGGTGGTCTTGAGATCATTTATTTAAGTCCTGCAGGTTCCACAGGGAACTTGTTAATGAGCAGAGGAACTCGGACTGGCTCAGGTTTTCTTTGTATTTTAGCAGGAGCAGAATTCCCTCACACTTTTAATGCTGTGTGCTGGAAGGTCTCCTCTGTTTCAGCTTTTTATGTCGGTAAAGAGTCTTTCCTTTCTTGGCAGTGTGAAACTGAATCCTGAAGGATGGTGTTTTCTTCAGGCAAAGTGATCTCCTTGTGAAATGATTGTATGGAATGTCTGTCAATGGGCTGTGTGTCCTGCTGCTTTTCTTGAAGTTGAGCAAAAGGCTTTGAAAGGAGAGGTCGAGGTTGCAAATGTACCAATTGTCCTGTCTAGTTCTGATCCTGGAAATGTTTTCCAAGCTCTGTGGAAGCTTCTTTGTAATTGTTCGTTGAGCCAGTCCCTAAGCCAGCAGTGAGCAGGTGTGGCATTGCAGGGCTGGCTCTGAGCAGTGAGTTTGTCTGGAGCTTGGATCCAGCTGGGCTTTCTGCTCTGTCGTGGTAATGGCACTGCAGCCCTTTGGTCCAGGCCAAAACAAGAGTCCAGTTATGCACCCAAATCTTGGTTTTTTTTACTAAAACCATCATGCTCACACACTTGAAACAGTTCTGATTTTATTATCTAAGATACTTCTGCTTTTTATTCTTAGATCTTAAAAGGAGATTGTTTGTTGGATCTTTGCAACTTTACAGAAAATAGGTGAGTTACAGCTTTTGTTCTCAATCATAGGGCTTGGTTCATGTCTAAAGCACAGGCCTTTGTGTACTGAATCTCAGTTTTACTGTTCCATTGTGTTTCCATATCTAATGGGTTTGAGTATTTGACCACCAAAGCTGCTCTGGCTGAAACACTTTCTGGATCAGAGGTGTGGCCAGTGTCAGGAGTTCAAGCTGCAGGGATTTTTTCTTGGTACCAGGTTTTTTGGTGCTTGCTCTGATTTTCTGGCAACCATAATCTTTGAATAATGTAATGCAAACTAAAACCTTGGCTCTGAAGGTTACAGATGTGCTTCTATACACATATTATTTCCAAGTAGGGAAATCTCTAGATTTATTTCTCTATCTCTAATTGAGTGTATAAATCCGTGGATATGGCAGATGGACTCAAAAGAAAAGGAAGCAACAATTGCAAAACCACAAAAAAGAGGTGAACAATTTCAATGGGAGGGAAGTGTCGTTGTTTCAGAAACTCTGAATTTGCTTCTGAAAGCTACTTTAAATGCAAACTCTAAAAAAACCTTGTCAATTTTTTTGCCTTTTGCAAAAATACCTATTAATTTGTTTCTGCCTTTTGTTTGTGAGCTTTTAACTTGTTGGTTTGCTTTGGGAATTTTGAGCTAAGACTCAGTTGTTTTAACAATGTAGATAACACCTCAATTTAGATATAAACTCGTTTCTTTCATCATTGAAAATTGAATTTCTCCTAGTGTTTCTACTTTTGGATTAATAGTCTTCCTTCAGTAACACTGTCATATGGAATGATACAGGGGTCCCTGTTCTTTTGCAAGTAGTCTGACATCTCAAAGACTCTTGTAAGCATCTCTGGGTGGTTTTTTTTTGTCCAGCTTTCCACAGACCTTTACATTTTCCTAAAAGACATGGGGCAGCTGAACCTGTGATGCAGTGAGGTTTCCTGTGTGATCACAGGTTGCTTGTGTCAGGAATACTTTGTTATATTCCATTATTATTCATGCTGGAACTGCATTCCTGGCCCAACTGCAGTCAGGATTACTGGTGCAAACCATTTCTGATTTTCATCCAGAACTTCCATTCTGCTCCCTAAGTATTATATGTTTAAAGCCTTGCAACCTTGGTGGGGTTAAACATTCCTTTTTTCCAGCTGGGTTTGGTGGAATAAAGAAAATGAAGGATTTGTTTGGTATCACATGTCAGTGATGATTTTAGAAATAAAACCCAGTCAGGAAACTCCTCACTTTCCCCTCCTTTGCACCATTAGGAGAATTATGGGCTACAGAGTGGCAAACCCAGAAGTGCCAGCACTGGGTGCAGTTCTCCCTGGTGCACAGATTTAACCTCTGACCAGCTGAGCACTTCCAGATTGGTTTATTCACAACTGGCGTGAGAGCCAAGTTGGTTTTTCCCTCTTCTTACTGATATCCAGATTCTGGTGGAAGGGTGATTCCTGCAGTGATCCTGGAGAGGTTTGGGGTCCAAGGGCAGGCTGCTCAGGGAGGTGGGAGCAGCACTCCTGCCCAGAGCATGAAACTCTGACCCTGTGTTGGTTTGGGGCAGCACCTTCTTTGTTTTTCAGCAGTTAAACCTTTGCTATCAAACCTGGGCTTCTCTTTCAGCAAAGCACTGAATAAAGAGTATGAAGAGTATGTTCTGACTGTGGGTGACTTTGATGAGAGAGTTTTCCTGGGAGCTGATGCTGAAGAAGAAATTGGCACTCGAAAATTCCCTGCAGATGTGCCAGGAGAGAAAACGGCAGCACGAGCTCACATGGAGTGTCATCTGCAGCAGCATTTTGAAAAGGTGATTCATTTAACATGGCAAGCTCACTTGAAGATCTGCTTCCAGTTTTCTCACTCTTATGCACTCTTTGAATCATTGAGGGGACTTGAAATTTCTTCCTCCTGAGAGAGGAAGATGGTGAACACAGGCTTCAGTGCTGTCTTGCTATAAGGAGAAAAGGTGGTATCTTTTTTCCTGTGGAATTTTTAAAATAACTGTTCCTTAAACAGAAGGAGTGCACTTTCATGTGTATAGTTTGGTTTTGTCCAAGAAAAATCAGTAAGTAATTAATACTCAAATAAATATTTGAGTCTTAGTTTTGATCGAGCTTCATTTATACCCCATAATCATACCACAAAACCTTGACACTGGATTAGTTTTCCCACTGTTTCATTTCTTAGGAAAGGAAAAATCAACTTTCCTACTTTTCTATGGAAAATAGGATTCACACATAAGCCTTAACAAAGTCTCTCTTCATTACAAAGAGTAGCCTATAAACAGAGTTAATGTTTCACTGTGTTTAAAAATGTATCTAATGAAGCTGACATGCAGGAAAACAGTTGCTTGATGACTTTTTAATCTTGGATAAGGGGGGAAAAATAGTATTGGCTGTGTGAAAGAGCCATATACTGTTGGATTTACATATGAATTAAAAAAATAAGAATTCTCATTCTGCGATACTGGTGCAAGTGTAAATGAATCATAGGTCTTGGCTTTTTCTCCCAAATATAAGTGTATTCTATAATCAGGCACATTAAAGATGGGAGTTTGGAAAGGGTTTTTTTAATTATAAGCTTCAGTTTCTGTAGTACAATAATATTACTGTTTATGCATAACAGCTGCAGGCTTCACCTTTTCTCACTATTTGCCTTGTATCTTCAGAATGTTGTCAGTTCAGATAATTAAATCCAAAAACTTTATTGTGTCACTTCCAGACAGCAGGATCCAAATAGGTAAGCACAGCCCACAGAGCTCCATCTGCTCAGTGCCAGTTCATCCTTTGGATGGAGGATGTGGGGAGCCCCATTTCCCAGGGAATGTTCTCCTGGAACCTCTCCTGGGCAGCTCTGCCACCCACTCCTTGTGTCACCAGCTAATGCAGTTGGCAGCTGAGAATGGAAGCATGTGCCTCCTCTTCCTTGCCCTATATTTTCAATGTTCAAATAAGCCTAAAAAGTTACAGGTTTAAAGATTTTAGGTCTTGTTTTACTGTGTTTTAGTTGTAAAATCCCTTTGAGTCTGCTCAAAGATTTGTTATATTTTCTATTTATGGAGGTTATATTATAGATATATTTTGGAGATTATATTATAGATATATTTTCTATTTATTGAGATTTTTAGTCACTTCTGAGCTCTCAAGTGAAGCCTTCACATGGTTCTACTAGTGGTGTAATTTTAATCTTTGAAGGAATTTTGCAGGTGATGCTCATTTGGAACATAATTGAAACAATGTTGTTGGCTGATTTCTGTTTATTATTTTTCTCTGTCTGACAGAAAAGGTCATTTGCACCTTCAACTCCACTGACTGGCAGGAGATACCTGCGAGAGAAGGAAACTGCCTTCACTCCTGTGGCCTCAGCCACACAGAGCGTGAGCCGTCTGCAGAGCATGGTGGCTGGGTTGAAAAATGCACCAAGTGAACAACTTACAGCTATTTTTGAGTGAGTATGTCCACTTCAGCTGCTTTCATTGACACAGAAACTCATCTTTTGGCTTTTTTTTCCCCTTTGGGGCAGAGTATTTTGGTCTGTGTTTCTGTATTATTTCTTGTTGAAGGATTTTCCGTTTTCTCGATGGTCTCACCTGGAGAAGGATGGCTGGACACACACACCCCCCATCTGACTTGTCACCACCATTGTGTTAATGGAGCTTCAGCTTTTGCTGATCTTGATTTGTCTGTCTGCTTGAAAGCCAACTGCTTTTTTTAATTTGTTTGCATTTTAAACAAGTACTTATCAAGTAAAAGATGTGGTGACCATGTTGGCAGAGATTTTGGAGAAGGGCTTGTTTGGCTGAACAAGGTGCAGTCTTTGCCCTCAGCTGGGAAGATAAAACTAAGAGCACATACAAGCTGCCCATTTCTCCTTGACACTGCTGCAGGGTGTGTGGGTGTTACCCCATGGCACAAGGATGAGCCTCTCATGACCCTGGTCACTGTCAGTGCTGACCTGGAGTAGCAGCAGCCACGTTTCCCACTCAGGGTGTTCTGGTGCCTGTTCCCTGAGCACACTTCAGACCACTGCCTTCCTCCCTGAGCACAGCTCATAAAAGGCAGTCATTGAATAGTAAATACCTGTGCAGTTGCTGGGTGTTTGCCTAATATCTTTCCAAATTAAGGTCTTGCTGTGTTACAGTGTAAGGTCTCCAGATGTATTTTTACAAATCAGAATGGACATTTAGTATTAGCACTTAATATTTGAAGTCCAAAAGCAATGTTCTTTTTAAAGTAACCATCATAAACAGGTGAAAAATATTACATTCTGTTCTCGTCTTTGGAGTTACGTACATTTGGAAGTTTTGCTAGCACTAGTTCCTAAAAGTTTACAACTGTGCTCTGTGGGATACATTTGTTTAGAATGTTTCTTTGATTGTTTTTATAAGGACTGATACTATTTATATTCTACAATTAAGACATTAATGTGTCTGTAGTCTCTAATTAAACATGTGGCTGTTCCAAATAATAAACCAGACTGTCAAGAAAGAGGTAAATATTAAAATGGGAACAAGAATTGAATAAGCCTTTGGCAAGAGCTGTGATGAGTACTTTGCTCATCCTGGATGTGAGTTCAGCAAGCACTCAGGTCTATGTACTGTGTCCCTGGAAGAAATGGAGAAACTATAGTTTGGACTGTGTCATGTTCTATGCTTTTCAGTATTTTCTTTTTCAAACTAAAATTCCATGGAAAAGTTTTGAAGTTAATTAGAAGGCTTTGTTCAAAGAGAAACCTTAGCTGATTTTAGTTCTAGCTTTTCAGAGTAATTCAGTGTCTTAATATGACACAAGCCTCAGGCCACTGTCCTCTAAAACAGTTGCTGGAAAATTCAGAAGCATTCAGAATGAGCATCTCCAGCTAGAGATATTATGGCCCTTTTTTATGGCAGTGACAATGTGGAGTTCATCAGTCCCCCCAGTCTTGGTAGGGAATGGGAAGATGCTGCTGCCTCTTCCCTCTGAGCTTTCCTGTGCTGCCTCCAGCTGAGCCTGGCCAGTGAGGTGTCGTGGGTGCCTTTGGATGGATGGATGGATGGATGGATGGATGGATGGATGGATGTTTGCTTGGCTGTTGCAGTATCCTCCTCACTCCTGGCAGGTTCCTCTTCCTCCTCCCTGCTGCTGTGGTTCTTCCTTTCTCCTGTGTTTGTTCAAGGTGTGCAGATCCTCCCTGGCCCTGTTAGGAAGAGAGGACATGATGCTTGTGTATGTTTTATGTTTTCCTCTGTCTGTGTGATACAGGCTCTTGCTGATGAGGAATGCTTGGTGTAATTGGCTTATCTTTTTATTTTGATTTTATGGTTGTTGTTTCTTGATATTTATGTTTTAAACTGGTTATTAATTGATATAAACAAGGCTTTCTTTGCCTTTGGCTTCAGGTCTTGTGCCCGCAGCCCCTTGGAAAGCATCATGAGCAGAGTGAAGGAAATTGGTGAGACCTTCTGCTGCTGCTACACTCAGTCAACAGATGAGCAGCCAGGATCTCACATAGGTATGGACTGAAAATACTAAACCAGGGCAAACAGAATGCATACCTGTACTGTTTTCTGTATTTAGTACAGTGGGGCTGGTTTTATCCCAGGATACACCCAAGTAGAAAGCTGCTGCTGTCAAACAGTACACTGCAAAGAATAAAAATTTATGGCAGGGTAAACCCAAGACTGCAGTTCAAACTGAGATAACCAAGAAATCATGGGAAAGCAACTCTTAGCAAGTGTAAACTTGCAATCTTGTTAGCTTTATAATTTCAAGGAAACTGAAAGCAAATAGGAAAATTATTCCAAAATTACATCACAAGAGATGGTACAATAAATAATCCTTTAAAATGTTTATGGAATTTCATGCTGTGTCTGGGACTAGTGGATTTCTGAACTTTTTTTTTTTGTTTGCAAAGTATGTATATACTCATGTGAACTATTGTTTTGGATGAGAACAGGTGCTGGTCAGTTTAGTCTTAACCCTGTTTGTGCCAGTGGCATTTGACTTAATCTCTGTTGATTTTAAATTTCAGATTTTGCTGTAAACAGATTAAAACTGGCAGAGATCTTGTATTATAAAATCTTGGAGACTATAATGGTGCAAGAAACACGGAGACTGCATGGGAAGGATCTGACTGTAAGTAAAGAACCAGTGAAAGATGAGAACACTTTTTGTAGCTGTTTCTTGGGAGTTTATCTTCAGGCAGTTTCAGAACAAAGTACTGTAAAGCACTCTGTGGATGTTGTTAATACTAAAAAGGGGAAATACATGGGAGCTGCCAAAATGTATTTTTCTTCTACAATTTAAACCAGTATAACTATCATAACTAAAATTTGAATTTTTGTTGCCTTCTAGAATTACAACTTTATGGACTGATAACTTTTATTATCTTCTTTACCCAATGAGCAGTACCAATGCTTCATGTTAGACAGCACTACATTTGCTCTGCTTTATGATGCACAGCAATGAGGCCAGCTCATTTGTCCACAGCATGCAAAATGTGATCGTTTTGGTGTTGTTACTCTACTTCTGTTCTCCTCAACGTCCCTGTAAAAAGGAGGTTGTAGATTGTAGTAGGAGTCCTTGTAAAATCTATGTATTGTGTAAGTGGCCGTGCCCCAATCCTAGTTGTTCTAAATGAGCTACAGCTGTGATGTCCTTAATTGGGCAGCAGCTGTGGCTCGTGAAGGGATAAAAGGGGGTGGGTTGGCCAGAGGGAGCCTTGGAGGAGCCCTGACAAAGCAGCAGGAGCAACACTGCTGTGAAGAACTGCTCACGAGAAAACCACCTAGAAAGGCATGGGACTCTAGAAATAACATAACAGCAATATGGTTACAATAGTAGATGGGAGAAGAGGACAGCTTCTTTCCAGCAATAAGCTGTGTAGTGTCAGTGCCACAGAATCCCAGCCTGTGTTTCCCAGTTGTGAGGCAGTGGCCCTGGTGTGCTCTCTGCAGGCTCTCCTGGAGCAGGATGTCTTTCACCGCTCCCTCCTGGCCTGCTGCCTGGAGATCGTGCTCTTCGCCTACAGCTCCCCTCGCACCTTCCCCTGGATCATTGACGTGCTGGACATCAGGCCATTCTACTTCTATAAGGTAAGTAGGCACTGGCCTAGGACAGGATTGGTATTAAAAATGGCTTCTTACTGGATTAAGTCATAGAGTCCTCCCTATGTAAGGGGGTAAGGCAAGGACTGATATTAAGTGTGCATTAAGATGTCACTGTAGGACATGAAATAACATGGCGTGGACACGCTGCCCTTTCAAGGTAAAAAGAGACTTTTTAATTTCTGACTCCAACATTTACAGACTTCCAAAAGTGACAGTGGATCGGAGGGTGACAGTGCCACCTCTCCAATGACACTGGACAAACCAACAGTCCATCAGATTTCTCCTCCTTCATAAAAGAATGCAAAACAATGAGTTATTTACATAAAGTGTGTGAGAAAGTTTGTTACAAGAATGTTAACATCAGAAGGCTTAGAAAATCTTAAAAAATCAGGGCAATATCAGGCCTATTCTAAATGCTGGCTGTCCTGAAATGTATTACTTGGAAGGTGTAATGCCAGAGCTGAAGCTGAAATATAAAGAACAAAACCCATTTTGTAAATTGTACTGATCTTTAACATACTGCCCATCAACTTCTACTAGACTAAAGCCTTCAAGCATACATTTTGTTGATCAATATATTTATTGCCTACAGTGTAGTTCTAAAATAGCAGATACAGATCTGAAATGTTGGCTTTGGCTGCTACTACTTATCACAGGCTTGCTTTGCTAAGTTTGGGGGCTTTTCCTTTATGTAACAAAACATAGAATATCTTTTCCAGAGTTTTCTCTGGTTTTGCTCTTCATTTAACCACATTTTCCCAACTTCCAATGTAACTTGATTTTTGACTACTTCAGTCCTTTTATCACCTATCCATATACCTCCAGCTTTTGCTGGATGCCTAGCAGCTTACTGGGGTTAGGTCTGAATAAATCAAGTAGTTCTCTTCAGATGACAGCAACCGAAAAATGGAAGCCTTTGAGAAAGCTGGTTCATCATCTGTCCTTCCTTTTTCCTTTACTGCTCAGCTGTGCTGTAACAAATCTGTCAATATTGCTGTGGCTGGTGGTAGCCTCCATCAAAACTGGTGCACATCCAACTTTATGGAACAGGTTGATGTTTGATTTGAATTTTCTCAGCTATTAGTGTATATTCTTGCAGCACTCTTATTTGGACAAAAATTGCCATTACAGGGGTCTCACACAGGAGAGACTTGTGACATTTGTAACTTTGTTCTCTGGGCGTAGCTTCTGTAGCAGGAACAACCAAAACTGGTCTTCCATGGAATTTTTGTGGCATTTCCATCTTTGGAGCTTTAGCAAAACAGGCTTGGATGCTCCTCTGATAGGAATAACACAGGGTGGATCTTGTGTTGGAGTATGATACTGCCGTCAGCTCTGTTCAACCCCCATTTGTCCATGTTAAGGGTTCTGAGTGCACCTTAAATGAAACTTTCGGCAGTGGTTTTCAGCTCCTCATGTTCTGGGCTGCTTGTTGGCAAGAGCTGAAATGCTGGGGCTGGCACATCCCCTGGCACATCCCCAGCTGTACCTGATCACCTGTCCCAGGCCAGTGCTGCATGTGCCCAGTGCCTTCACTTGTGCACAGTTAGCAGTGGTGAGAGAGGCCCTAAAAACCCCAGAGTGGATTGTTCTGCATTGTGGCATATCTGCTGTCCTCTTCCAGCCCCCAGGTTGCTTTGGGAAAGGGGGTTAAACAAAGAGGGTTGGGGAAGATGAAGATGTGAGGTGGAGGCTGGAGCACTCTGTGTTGACGTTTTGAACAGGAGCCTGAAATAAATAACAGTTAGATGGTGTTAAACATGAGCAGTGTGACATTGCTGTGTGTGTGTGTCATTGCCATCAGGTTATTGAAGTGCTGATCCGGTCTGAGGAAGGGCTGTCCAGAGACATGGTGAAGCACCTCAATAGCATTGAGGAACAGATTCTGGAGAGTCTGGCCTGGACTCGGAACTCAGCACTCTGGAATGCACTCGAGGCCTCAGAAAACAAAGTCCCAACCTGTGAAGAAGTATGTGATCTCATTCCTGTTACTAGGAAATTCATGTTCTTTTTCTCACTTTATTTGGAAAACTGTTCAAATGAGATTGTGACAATCTATTAATAGAAGATTTTCTGCAGTAACAAAGAAGGGAAATTAGTTTGTTATCTTAGACTGACATTTCTTACTTCTCAGGTGATATTTCCCAGTAATTTTGAGGCCAGCAATGGAGGAAGTGGGTTTGGGCACTTGCCCATGATGCCATTATCTCCCATAATTCATCCTCGAGTGAAAGAGGTTCGGACAGATCTTGGTGGGAGTTTAAGACGAGGTAAGTTTAAGGCTTCTGATATTATTTGAATGTGTGAACTTGGGGAGAGGGTTACAATTCTTTGTAATTGGAAAAAGCATCCTTGAATCTGAATTGAGAGTTCAGAATTGTGAAGTTTATTTGATCAAGAGAAGGTCTAGATGCACCCAGTCAAACCAGTGCTGTGACTAACTAGCTGCAGACAGTGCTCAGACAGTGCTTCCCTTCTGGACTGGAGCAGATTTTGCTGCTGGCTTGATGCCAGGATGACCTTTCTCTGAGATGGATTGTCATCAATCACTTATTGTCCATTGATGTTCAAATTTTTCCAGGTTGGTTTTTTTTTTTGCTTTCTGTTAGTTTACAGTCAGTGAGTTTGACTGGATTTTAGCTGACTTTTTTAGATATAGTGACAGAGCTACACTTCACTCCTGCTTCCTACAGAACTGTTTTTGTGCTGGGTGGAGGACAGTGGTTTACCTGCAGTGTTCTGTCCTCTGAAGCTGCTCTTTGCAGATTCCTGGATCTCACACAGAACTGTCTCCTGACACTGAAGGGTGCAGAAGCAGTGCCAGCACTGCTGTTTCCTTTGCATGCTTCTCTAGTTAGGAATTGCAGCTTTTGTTGTATCCCAGACACTGGTCCATATGTTCTTGCACGTGCTCTGTGAACTGGTGGGTTGTGTAATTTTGTCTCCTTCAGTGTTTGTGTGGCAGCAAACAAGGCTGTTTGGTGTTTTTTTAAATACTCCTTGGGAAGGAGATGTATGAGCAGTTTCTGTGTTAGGGTTTGCTGATGGAAGAGGAACCAGATTGGAGATGGTGTCTTACATCTGTCTCTCAATCCCTGCAGGCTCCAATCAGTCTTACCTGGCCAGTTATCCAGATAATTTCTGACTCATGGGAAATAGGAAATTCCTGTCGCTGTGATTGTCACAGACTGCAGCAGAAATGCAAAAAGCCTGTGAGCAGAAGCCTGGTACATTAGTGCTGTGTACTTGAGGCTTATTACTGGAGCAAATGTTTGAAAGCAATATGAAAGTCTGAGAGGAACTGAGGCTATGTGAGAGTGGAGTCACCTGCCTGGGAGCAGTTTAGAGAGAGTTTGAAAGCCAGAACAAAGGGAAGGCAGCATGTCCAAGGAGTGTAGTCAGGGTTTCTGCAGAGGAATGTGTTCACAGCAGTAACACTTGCAAAAATTCCCTAATTGCTAGGCTGACTGGAGTAAGTACCTCTGATCCTGTGTGTTCCTCAGTCTCTGTGGATCAGAGTGACTGCTCAGCTTCCATGTGATACCTGATGGCAGAACTGCACTGTCTGGGGTGACTGCAACACTGAGAAAAGTCAGGCTACAGATCTTGTTCTTATCACCTCAGAACAGTGAACTCTGAGAGCAGGCCTGAGCTATAAGTGATCTCTGCTGGTGTAGTTGGAAGGTATCCTTTCACCTTCTTTGCAGAGGTATTTCCCTTAAGCTGCTGTTGTTAAGGTTTTGTTGGGTTTATTTTTTCTTTCTTGACATGCCAGACGTGCAGCCATTGTCTCCAATCTCCGTTCACGAGCGCTACAGTTCTCCTACAGCTGGGAGTGCTAAGAGAAGGCTCTTTGGAGATGACAGCCCCAAAGAAACGCAGATGGAAAAAATCTTAACGAAAGGAACTAAGCTGACAATTGCTCCAGCATCAAGCATTGGTGCTGAAAACATGTCAGCATCTCCTGCCCAGACAGTGCTGACCATGACAACCACTACAGGACCAGGAAAAGCAGGACAGAAGGTCACTATCCCACTGCATGGTAGGAATTCTTGCTGCTTTTCTTCTCTACTAGGATATTTTCTTTAGTCTTAAGTTATGCTTAGACCAACCATGCATCCTGAAAGTGTGTTGTTTTTTCTTTCTAAAAAACAGTCACTTTGTCAACAACAGCTGTCCTGGTTTGAAGGACAGGTGTCTGCCAAAGAAGGCAGGAACCTCCCTCGGAATGGAGAATATGACCCCCTTCCCTCTAAATTCTTGTAACTTTGAAGTGACAGGGCTTTCAGGCAAAGATACCAGAAAAGGAATAGCAGTTCCTTGCTAGTGTCTGTGTGTATAAGAAGGCAAACCAGCTCCAAGCCGGCAGCACGGACGAGCAGACGCAGAGCCGCAGGGCCGGCCTTGTCCCGGCTGCAGGCCCCTTCCCCTGCGGTGCAGTTCCGGGCACAGCCGGCAGGGGCGCTGCTGGCTCCCGGCCGGGCAGGGCGGGGCGATGATTCCCCCGGGGCTGCAGGGGGCGCTGTGGCGCGAGCTCGGCCGCCTCTCTGTGCACGGCAATGGCGGCCGGGCTGGCGGAAGGGATGCACAAGGGGCTGCCTTTGGAACCCTCAGGGACGGCCGGGCCCGCTGCACCTCCGGCTGGGGAAATGGACTGCAGCAGGAACCTTGGCAGCAGCTGGAACGGCAGAGGCGAGCAGATCCTGTTGTAATAAATGAGATGTAGCAGAAACTGCAGAGCTGTGGCCCCTGCGGGGCGCTCTGGCAGGCAGGGGTATGGCACTACAGAGTAGTGAAAACTCAGAAAAGCAGCAAAAGAAGGGCAGGGGTGGGCAGGGGTCTCCTCTGCAGCAGCAGTATCACACAGCCAGGGAAATGCATCCTCCAGGACGGGGCTGGGGCTCAGGGTCCCGGTGTTTTCCCCTGAGGCACCCGAGCAATGGCAGGGTCCTTTCCAACGAGGCAGGGTGCCGGTGATGTCCCTGTTCGGTGGCTGCTCTCACGAGCAAACGCTCACTCGTGGCACAGAAGCAGGACAGGGCTGGGCTGTAGCACTGAACTCCCCCACAAACAGCAGCTGGAGCATCCTGCTCCAAACCCAACGGCGAGAGAGGGCGAGGAGCCGAGCCAGCCTCTCACCACCCGGCCAAAATTTGAGGTATCTTTTATCTTCCAAAGAGAAAACCCACCAGGTAAAGACAGTAGCCAGCCAAATCCTTCCCCATCCTTACCCTGAGCCGAGGCAACTTCTTTTATCTCTCTAAATTACCAGTGGTTTTTGTCTCTTAGAAATGTATGGGAGAAAATTCCCTGAGAAAAAGAAAACAAAAGGAGCAATCCTAAGCTCCAACTGCTACTAAAAAGGTTAAGTTTATATTGACATCACATCCTTGGAGACATCTGATCCCTGGCAAACACACTGAGGATTTCTCCTCTTGCATAAGAGATCATGTTTGTGCTCTTTCCAGTTTTACCTCACCCGTTAATCGGTATTTCAGTTCTCAGCTCCATTAATGATTTACTGCAATTTGTCTTAATTTGTCTGTTAAAATCTCCAAAGGCTCTGGAACTTATAGATAAGAGTTACATGCTAACATTAGCAAAATACTGTGAGACTTCTGTTTTGTGGAATTTTGGTGATACTTGAATATTTCTGAAAATGATACATGAGCAATGAGTTTATAGCCATTCTTAATTTTAAAATTGGGTCTATAGTTAAAGATTAAAATAAAAATTCTGCACTAATCATGTTTAAGGAGATTTTCAGCAAGATAATTTGATTACTGAGGAAACTAATGAGGACTGTATAGGATATGCTGTCAGTTTTGCAGAATAAGAATTAAAAAAAAGAATGCCCACCTTCCCCCAACAGAGTGGAAAACCAAGTACAGAAATTGTGATTGCTTGTAAAGTTTGTATTTTAAGATAACTTTTAGAAAAGATCATTCACATTGAGATTCTCCTTTTAAACCTTACCAGAAATGTAATTTTTGCTGTTTCTGAAGACTCTGTGGGACAGACTGTAGTAGAGAGGATGAGATGTCTTCAATATCAAATGTTCAAATGCTTGACTTTGCAGCATGAAGAGAGCTGCCAGTTTATTTCTAGGTATGTGTATCCTCTCCAGGTATTTCAAATGACATGGGTGGAATCACCTTGATCCCCATTTCAATTAATTTAGGCCAGCCATGTAAAGTGGATGCTCAGGCTCCCTGCCACCCTCCTGGGACCCAAGGAGCAGACGTGGCGCTGCCTGTGGCCGGCAAGCCGAAGAGAACGGGCTCCTTGGCACTGTTCTACAGGAAGGTGAGTGCCCTTCCTCCTCCTTGGCACTGTTCTACAGGAAGGTGAGTGCCCTTCCTCAGAGGGGGCTGTGCTTGTGCTCCTGTGTAGGAGTTGCAGGGGGTCGCACGGTCGGGACAGACGGAGATGAGATCTCTCTGAAGCCAAGTCATATAATTTGCAGTTTATTACAAAGGGCCTGGGTGCGGGGCCCTGCTGCAGCTCGGAGCAGGGCTGAGAGAAGAGAGGCTTACAGTGTAAGAGAGTCAATGGCAAAGGTTTAAGAGCAGAGAGCATGTAGAGAGGAGGGGGTGAAGGAGTGCAGAGGGAAGACAAAGAGACAAAGAAAGAAAAGGGTTCGAAGAGGAGCTCGAGATCGAGCAAAGAGATAAGGGAGAAGAGAGATAAGAGAGCGTGAAAAGAGAGCGAAGTTCTCATTACAATACAATAAATCATCTTCAGTGCTGAATATTCAGATTCTCATTAATTAATCTACTACAGCATGCATATCTTATAACATTTCTACACAACTTATAAGAATCACTACATTACCGTACTATGTTTACGTGTTAAACCTTAAATCTTATTCTCTGGGCCCCATCTGCCAAGCTGCGAGGCCTGCTCTGACTCTTAGGCCTGCCTGCTTGCAGAGGGAATTGTTTCTTCCAGGGGGGATTACATTCAACTGGTCACAACTAAGGTATCTTAAAGGTTGCTTTCATTTCAATCTCGCTTATAGTTTCTATATTCTCAAAATCTTTTGCCAGGCAGTCATATTTAAAAGGCTTTCCTGTTCCATCCTCCCCAACACTCCTGGCCATGCTGGAGCCTGCCTCCCTGTGCAGCTCCCAGTACCTTCAGTCTTCATGTGCCTTGAGCTTGGCACATGCAGTCCTTGTATACCTTGAAGAAGAAGGAAAAAGATGTTGAGTGTTGCAGAGAGTCCAGTTTAGTCCTTCCTACTGATGGGATTTTTTTTAAATTTTAATTAGAAGCTTCTGTAAATAAATATCAAAGGCATACTTGACTTCAGATTTTACTTCTCTTGGCTATTTTGATTGCCCCCACATTTGCAAGGGTTAGACAGAGCTGACATGAGAGGGTTTTCCTGTGTGTCACTCATTCAAAGCTGCACTGCTGTGGATCCAGCATTGGAGATGCTCCTTTGCCACGTTTACATCTGCCCGGCAGTGCTGATCTTGAGCCCCCACTCAGGAAGCAGTGATGAATAACATAATAGCTTAAGGTTTCTAAAAAGAATGAGTTTGAAATAATGCAGGATTTAAAGGTTAAGATCTGGGTGTCCTTAAGAGTAACTTCAGATGACTTACTTATAGTTGCTTTCATTTTCAGTGTGCATTTTGTGAGGGGTCTTTGGAGGAAGCAGGGTAACTTGGGCTAGATGACTACAAAGAATATATCCCTAAATTAATTTCTCTCTAAAATATTAGAAGATTTTCCTGTGCGGTTATTTTCTTACTAGGTAAGTTATTTTCTGAGGTTTTCCCCTTTGAGGGTATCTGTATAGATACAATAGATCTTAAGAAGTTCTACCATGAACAATCTTTAAGGTACACCTTAATACAAAAAATAATTTCTGAAAACACTTGTAAGCCACATCCTTTGCCTGAACTATTGGTTCTTTAATTTTGCCAGTGACAGGCAGTTTCTCTGAGAAAGGATTAGGAATTGATCAGTCACCTGCCAGTTGGGAGTGTTGCATTTTGGAAGTTTTACTCTCAGCTAGGGAGAACTTCAGGTGTAGCTGTGTCTTTGACTAACCATGTCATAGACAACAAATTCCTCTTAGTTATGAAGAAGAACTAAAACCTTGACTTATATTTGTAGTTAAATTTTGGCTTTCCATTTATAGTGATCATTGTACTCAGAATGATAATTTTCCCCTACTTTCCTTTCTTGCTCCTGTTCAATAGAGCAAGTGAAAATGACACTACCCCTTCCTGCTTTCCAGCTTAAGGAAAGTGCCTAATTAGTTAGTGAGGGATATGGTATAGGAACTGTAGGCATAGTGTTTTTAGAAGGATTTTCTGCAAGTGTTAGAGGTTCAACAATTGGAGAGTGGACAGCTTAGTCTTTGAATCCCAAAATTCCAGAATGATTTTGGTTGGAAAGGACCTAAAAGATCAAATCATTCCACCCCCTGCCACGGGCAGGGACACTTTCTGCTAGACCACACCCCATCCAGTCTGGCCTTGAACCCTCCAGGAGAGGGCAGGAGCAGCTGCTCTGGGCACCCTGTGCCAGGGCTTCACCCCCTCCCAGGGAAGGGAAGGGTTCCCTCCCAGTGTCCCATCTGAGCCTGCCCTCTGGCAGGGGGAGCCACTGGCACTCCAGGCCCTTGTTCCAAGTCCCTCTCCAGCTCTCCCAGAGCCCCCTCAGGCAGCAGAAAAGGCTCTGAGGCCTCTTTTCTCCTCCAGGCTGAACAACTCCCACCCTCCCAGATCTTTCATGGATCTTCCTGCATATGGTGGAATTTCAGGAGCCAGCCGGCCACTCCCGGCCCCAGGCCCCTGAACACAAACCTCGGCCCTTTTCCCTTGCAGACAAAACTCACCTGCCCCTCTTCTGGATGGCAGATTGCAGGAGCCACTTGGCACTGTCAAACCAGCCCGACTGGGCACTGGTGCCCCCTTGGGTCTGGGAACCATCCTGCGTATCGTGGATTTTCAGGAGCCCGCCGGCCACTCCCGGCCACAGGCCCCCGAACACAAACCTCGGCCCTTTTCCCTCGGCCCTTTTCCCTTCCCTCCGATCATCTTCGTGGCCCTTGTAGAATATCTCTGCTTGGATGTCTTTTATTTCTGCAGGCCAGGATGGGCTTGTTTGGCTTCACCCTTTGCTGTGTGTCCTTTCCTCCCAGGTGTACCACCTGGCGAGCGTGCGCCTGCGGGACCTGTGCCTGAAGCTGGACGTGTCCAACGAGCTGCGCAGGAAGATCTGGACGTGTTTTGAGTTCACCTTGGTTCATTGTGCTGACCTTATGAAGGACAGGCATTTGGACCAGCTCCTCCTCTGTGCTTTTTATATCATGGCAAAGGTAACGTGTAGTTTGAAGCAATTCATGGAATTTTTATGTTCAGTTTTATGTTCAAAATATCAGGTGTGTTCAGCATTTACAGTTTGACTGATTAATTTGTGTTGTATTACTGGAGGGAAGGGGAAGGTCCTTCCAAGAAGTGGATGAAGTCTCAGTATGGTTTTTTCCTTGTTTTGCATATCTGAGCTCACTGGCTCATTGATGGAAATTCTTGACAGAGTTTTTCTTCTCTTGAGTGCGTCACAGTAGCACTGGTTCACACAGACAAAGCACTGTGTGGTCTTATTGCCCTGTATTTGTTTTCTGTCCCATTTGTCATCTTGACAATCTGTTGATCTAAACTAAAAATTCCATTACAATTACAGAATTAGGCAGGTGCAGAAATTTGCAGGAGCAAATTTATGTGAGTGGTTTTTATTCCCAAAAATCCTTTTAGCTTTGGATGATTCAGGCTGAGGAATTGAGGTGGTTGCCTGTTGTATTTCATTTTTTATATCATTTGCCAGCTTTAATTTAAGGTGGTGTTAGATTGGATTGTGAAACTGGACTATTGGTTTGACTCAAACTTGAGCTGGTGGTTACAGTGTCTATCAAGCCTAGTTCAGGCACAAAATCCAGGAGGCTGGATTATCTTTTCTTGAGGGCAAATGAAGAGTAGCAGTGTGTGGAGGGAAACTGATGTTTAAATTGTGGCTGCCTGTGCTCTTAACTGCAGCATGGGTTAGGCTCACCTGATGTCAACACTGATAGCAAAGCCATTTAATAGTGCTCTGTATTTTATCATGTAATTTGTCCGTTGTTTTGGGGTTTTTTATAACCCAAGCTTTTGAATGCTGTCTCCAGTGCAGTGTGAGACCTGACAGCTTAGCCAGAGACATTGATGCATTGTCTCCTGGCTCCTACTACAAAAACTGTTGCTTGTCTGCTCTTAAAATTACAGATGTAGGGCTGAAAAACAGCTCTTCAAGAAATGAGCTATTTTGAAATAAAAAAGCCAAGTGAAATTGCATGTGTGTACCTGCCTAATGTCTTGTTCAGGATTTCCCCACTTTCTGTTTAGAAAAGTTAGGGATCCAGTTTCCAAATTCACAAAACACATTTTTGACTTAATAATATTTCCTTTCTTTAAGTGTCACTGGAAGAAAAGTCTGGAAAGGAGTAATTCCTATGCATCATAACTAACAAAAAGCTTTAGTAGCTAAAAAACAAGGAATTCCTGAACAAGAAAAATCTTTGTTGTTTCATGCTCTCATCACTAGAGATAAATCTTTAAATTATGTATCCATAGTAATACTCCTCAAAAAGCTGAATACTGGACCTAGGCAGTGCAGCCTTCACACTTTGCACTTGGTCTTCAACAGCCTTTTCTTTTCCAGGTAACCAAAGAGGAAAGAACTTTTCAGGACATAATGAAAAGTTACAGGAATCAGCCCCAGGCAAACAGCCATGTAAGTCCATAACACTGGCTTTACTTTTTGTAAAGCTCAGAAGTGGCTTTTGAAGTCTTTGTGCTCATAAGAGAAGTCAAATCCTCTGCAGTGTAATACTTGCTCCTGTTCACTTGGATTTCATCTAGTCTCCTGACCTGCTTGCTCTCCTTGACAAGAGTGTTTTTCCTTGCTGTCTTGTAGGTTTATAGGAGTGTCTTGTTGAGAAATACTTCTGATGATGTTCCATTGGACAAAAATGCAAACCCAGATATGGAGATGACAGAAGGTGAGTACAGCAAAGGAATTTGCTCTTTTCAGTAACATACTTGGGGCTTTTAAAGAACTGAACAGTCAAGTAATAAGTGGAACAAGTTTTACAGTTTTAAGTGTATTAAAGAAAAATAAATGCATTGTTGAAAAAGAAACCATCTTGTAAGTAGCTCTCTTGTGTATTAGGCATGGAAAAATAACACTTCCTAGTTGGAAAGAATATTTAATTTCATTTACCTAAATTTGGTTGCTCAGGGTGGAAGTGTTTTCTTAGTATGTCAATGATACTGTAGTTCTTGGATGGCAACACTGATAACAAAGAAGAATGAAAATAAACAGTACCTGGAATATTATGGTGGGTTTTTTTAATATCATCTATTCTGAAGACTGAAGTAGAAAGAACTTGTTTCAGAAACTAAAAATGCTAACTCTCCAGGGCTGCCATTTTCTTATATTCAGGTTTCTTTTAAATAAGTAATGGTTTCTTTGCTCTGGGTTAGAGAAGAAAAGGGACCAGAGTGGTATTTGAGAAAAGGATGGAACTGTGCCAGGCCTGTTGTGAGTGGCATGTCAGGAAAGTGAGAGATCAGCCCATGTATGAACCCATGAGCAGATCTGTATGTCAATGTATGAGCCCATGAGCAGGACACACGGAGAATTTACTTTGTTCTTTGTGGCAAATTCCCTCTGGGTGGGATTCATTTGCCTTAATGAATATTAGAGCCATTTTTAAAGGCCTGTTGAGGATTCTGTCTGGGTCATGGAAGGTACTGATCTCCTCTAAATCCTGACACCTCCAGAGTTACTGGATGACTTGGAGTATCTGGAGTGACACTGGGCTCTGGTATTTTGTCAGACAAATATATGTGGTTACAAAGTTCTTCAATGGCTTTTCCTACCAGACTTTCTTCAGTTTATGGACTCATGTCTCCTTTACACAGTATTAACTCCAGGTCTTTTGGTGCCAGTTCACAGGAGCTGTGCTTGTGTTGTGAGAAAGAAGGCAGATGGACAAAGGAGTCACTTATGGGCGTCAGCTGGAGCTTTGGTTGTGTGTCTCAGTGCACTGATTGCCAGAGACTTTGTGTGCTGCTCTGTTTTACTTGGCAGACAGCAGAATTCAGGACACATAGAAGGTTGTGTGGCATTTCAGCTTAATTAGGGGAGAGCAGACATCAACAGAAATACACTTGCTGTGTGGCTACAGCTTTTCCCACTTAACAGAACACGCCTGAACAAATGGTGTCCTGACTGCCTTGGTGCAGATCTGAGTTGAGCACCAAGTTTTTCTCTGCTAGCTGTTCACAACAGACTTTCAGAGAAGCCAAAAGCTGGGAGCTGCTTAAAACTTAGTTTTAAGACCAAGTAATGGCTTCCCCAGAATAAACATGGAAGAGGGGGTCAGTTGTGCTACAGTTTCTTGCAACAGCTGTTTCCAAGTTTGGAATAAAGGTTGATACTGGGCTTTTAGACATAACCCACAAGCCTGCTCACAGCAAATGGTAGCTCCTCCTGATGTTCATAACCACCTGCAGCACACCCTGCTCCTGGCTCAAGCACATTTCTTGAATTCCTGTCATTGACTGGTCAATTTATGGACAAGTTCTTGCCAGCTGGGCATCGTAAGTTCAACTCTGAAGTGCCTGGTTTGCCAATGCTGTAGTTTTGAAATCTGAAGCTCTCTTATTGTTAGACTCATCTGTGAAAGCTGGCAGCTCCTTGGGACGGTCCACAGCAGAGAATTTGAGTGAGTCAGAAACAGAGGAGAGAGGAGATCTTATTAAATTTTACAACGCAGTCTACGTAGGAAGAGTGAAGTCATTTGCACTGAAGTACGATATCACAAACCAGGATCATGTGGTAAGTCAAGTATTTTGGAATTAATACTCAGTCATTTTTTCTGGCAGTTAAACGTATGTCAGTAACTTTGTCTTGTCACCTGATGTGGGTCAAGTCAGATAATTGGAGGTAATGGTAAGAGCATTTGCTTTAACAGCCTTTCAAGACGACAATTGTAAATGCTGCTCAGTTTGCAAACCCATTTCCAACTTCTTTACATCAGTGCAATACTGACTTGCTCGATGCCTGTAGACTGACTGTATAAGGCATCTGGAAGATTAATTCTGTTGCTTGGTCATTCCTTGATCTGTTGTTTCACTGTCACGAGATAAAATACTCTAAAGAAGGCCTGGGAGTGTGTGCATGTTCTCTAGCGTGGGGTTCCTGCTGTCAGTGTGTTTGCTGAGCAGCCGTGTGCTCTGTGCAGGTGGAGGCGCCGCCGCTGTCGCCGTTCCCCAGCCTGCGGCCGCAGGCGGCGTCCCCGCGCCGGATCTCGCAGCAGCACTCGGTGTTCGTGTCCCCGCACAAGAACGGCGCCTGCCTCACGCCCCGCTCGGCCCTGCTCTACAGGTTCAATGGCAGCCCCTCCAAGGTACACACAGAAACAAGGCTCAGAGTGCTTGAGAAAGGGTTAATTGTCTTTTACTAGGATGTGGTCTAGTGCAGTTCTGATGTGTTATAATGAATGGTCTCTCACTTTGCACTAAAGTTAGAATTCTCTATGTAGACTCCACCGCTCAGAGGTGCAGGATAACCTGTTGTTCACAAGTTTGAAATGGAGTCAGAGTAACTCATTATTTTTGTCTTGGTCGCAGAGTTTGAAGGACATCAACAATATGATAAAGCAAGGCGAACACAGGAGTAAGAAGCGAGCAATAACAATTGACAGTGACACTGAATCCCCCTCGAAGCGACTCTGCCAGGAAAATGATGATGTTCTGCTGAAACGTCTGCAGGATGTTGTCAGTGAGAGAGCAAATCACTAAAAAGCTTCTGCTGTCTGTGGATCTCTAAGTTACAGAGCTGGATACAGCATTGTGCTATTTATTTCTGGCTTTTGTATATAGACAACTGTCAAGTTCCTTCAACACTGAACTTTCACCTGACATCCACAGGACACAAAAAGTAAGAGTTATGTAGGAAATGCCAGTGATCTTCATGCCCAAAGACCACACTGTGCTATAACTTACTCTGAGCTGTTTTAGCAAAAGAGTGTTCTGTGAAACCCATATTGGATGTTCTCAAGCCCCATTTGGAGCATCATGAATTCTGAGTGTAACTCAGCTTGGAATACCAGTTTTATTATTAGAATAAGAGTGATAAAGAAATTAGTGAAATCAGTGAAGTCTCCTCAAGCTTTTGGCATTTAGAGAAGAAACTTACAAAGTGCCTTATTTGAAAAGAATACAGAATTTTATGTATTTTACTGTGGAAAAGAAATGAATTATTTAGCCTCAGGAAGAGCCGAGTAGTTTTGAACTGTCAGAACTTATGTTAAAGTGTAGGTTGTGACATGTATCTGACAGCTTTTGCAGTAACAAAGGCAATAATCTAAAAATACAAATAGTGGTGACTTAGGTTGGACTCTGGTAAAGCTCACAGTTCTGTGAGCCTGAACTCCCTTTCTCTTGAGCCAGTGGTGCTCCATGTTGGGAGCCACAGAGCAGCCTGCCCTAGATGCTGTTCATACAGATGGCAGCTCACCCATGAGAAAATACAGCTGAAATCAGCAGCTGGGGTTTGGCCATGTTAAAGCTGTTCAAATGTACACATTCTTATAACAATTTGAATGTCTTGTTTTTTCCTGAAGACCTTTAGCCTCTTGTGTAGTATCTACACTGAATGTAAGCCCATCACATGAGGAGGTGTGTGTGTGTGTGAGGTTTTATAGCTGTTGAAGGCTTGGGTTCACTGGGAAAGTAGAAATTCCAGCATCCAGTTCTTGTTGACTGAGTTTTTAATGCTGAAGATCTGGTAGGGTCTGTTTTACCAAAATGGAGAAAAGTCAGGGTTTACTCATTACTGTAAATCAGTAGTTTCATCTTATTTTATAATTGTATTTAAGGTTAGAGCCATAGAGAAACTTCTCAGCACTGTAATTTTCAGTTTCTGTGTAACTGAACGGAAAAAAAAAAAGAACAACTACACAGGACTTATTTGAGGGGCTCTGTTTCCTTCATTGGCAGGGTGGGTTAGTATGTGAGATCCACAGGTCATGGGGAGAACATTGCCATGATTTTGAGCAGCCTCAGCAATGATGAAGGAGAAATTAATTTCTAAGTGTAGGTGTGCAGGAACACTACTCAGCAAGGAGTAGGAAGTTTACAAACGTGGTTTTGAGTCATTAACTACTTGAACATTTGATACTTTTTTAAACTTGTTTACTTTCAAAAAAAGGTGCTTGCCCATGGAGAGCTGCAGTATGAGGAAATGGCTGTGCAGTGGAATAGGTTTCATGTAGATATTTAATTTTATTCAAGTTTTAATATTTGTCTTCAGATTTTCAGATAAAAAGTGGAGGATTGCAGCCTTTCTGCAGTAGGATAGGAAATTTATGGTTAGGCATGACAGCATCAGTCTTTCCATGGTATTGTATGATGAGAGTTTACAACCATTTGACATGGTTTTAATTCAATATCATGTGCACATCTCCTGGTGTCTCTGCTCCCCACACTGTCACTGCCTTCTCTGACAGTAGACAACTGATGGAGCCAAAATCCTTAATAACTGTTATGTATAGTGCTTCTTCAGTAGGAAAATGAATGTACTACAACTGGATGCAGTTCAGAATTCTTCACCTTTTTAGGTGATATAAAAACTATTTTGGGCTTGTTGAACAGCTAAAACAATAGCTTACATGAAATTTTTGTAACGGTTTCAAAGTGCCTTCACATGTAAATCTGTATTTTATAATAAACAACTAAAAAGCATTTTAACCTGTGTTGCTGTGTTTCCTGTTGTTTTGCTGTGCCAGTTCATTAAACAATGCCTTCTTATCTGCATTTTCTGTAATATCAAAGACCTTCCTCATTTTTGTGCTCCCTCAGATTTCTTTGGGATTTTTTTTGTGTTTGAATTCATGACATTTCATGTGTTTTGTCTGAAGTTTCCTCCAGACCTTTCTTTACTGTTTGTTTTTCAGTCAGGTGTGGATTTTGGGAGAAGGTGAGTAATATATTGCATGAAGTCACCAAAAAGCACCATAAGGGAGAGGACCCTGCAGTGACAGGTGATGTGTCCACAGAGGCAGGGGTGACTCGAGCAGAGCTGAGCTGTGGGCTCCTAGTTCATCTCTGAGCACTGCAGGCACGAGCTCCAGGTGCTGGTCCTGGCTGCCTTCCTCCCACATGTGTTTGAGAACCAGCCTTGGACAGGTTCAGATCTGCACCAGCTGGTGTCATGCTGGTTTTGTTGCTCCAGGTAAGCATAAAGCTGGCAGGAACTCAGCTTTTCAAATAATTCTTGTTCATCTGCTCTATGAGGAAAAAAAGACCAATTTGTGCAGATTCTGCTGTAATGACTTCTTTGTTGCCAGAGCTTTTGCTTTAAAAGACTAATCTCTAGTTCATAGAATCACAGAATCACGGAATATTCTAAGTTGAAAGGGACCCACAAGGATCCTCAAAGTCCAACTCCTTGCCCTGCACAAGACACCCCAAAATCAGCATCATAGAACAGCTTGGTTTGGAGAGGACCCTCAAGATCATCTGGTTCCTCACCCTGTGCCTGGGAGTGTTGTCCAAGTGCTCCTGGAGCTCTGGCAGCCTCGGGGCCGTGCCCATTCCCTGGGGAGCCTGGGCAGTGCCCACACCCTCTAGGGCAAGAACCTTTCCCTGATGCTCAGCCTGGCCTGCCCTGGCACAGCTCCCTTCCCTCGGGTCCTGCCACAGGGAGCAGAGGTGGGAGCTGCCCCTCACGAGGGCTGGCCTCAGTCTCCTCCTGGCTGGACAAACCAAGGGACCTCACATGGCACATGAAAATCAGATGCTCCAATCAGCATTCTATTTGAGATGTGTGAACAGCTGTGTGAACAGTAGAAACTTATTGTAAATATAGTCCTTTTTGGGATAATAAACTCAGCTCCACTTGATCCTCTTGATCATGGTGTGATGTCCCATTCCTGGTCCTCCACACTGCACTGAGGGAGCCAAGAACCTTCCAAAGCATTTCCCTGGGAACCTTACTGACTTCATTCCCTGAGCAGCCTGAGCTCTGCTCTCCTCATGGCCAGGGTGGAAGTTTTGCTGACACTTCTCCTCCTGTCATCGGAGATTTTAAACTTGATTGCTTTGTGGTCACTGTGGCCAAGATGGCCACCAATCACCACTTCCCTTACAGGACCCTCTCTGGTAGCAACAAATCATGAGGGCACCTTTCCTGGTTGGCTCCCTTAGTACCTGCACCATGAAGTTGTTATCCAAGTGTTACAGGAATTTTCTGAACTAGTTTGTGCCAGCTGTGTGGTGTTCCCTGTTAACATCTGGCAAGTTGAAGTCAGACAAGGACAAAGGTGATTGATTAACACATGTTCCTTAGTGTCATGGTCCTGGCTGGGTGGCCCATGGTAGTCACCAGCTTTGTTTGTTTGTCCCTTTATCTTACCCAAGGATTAGTTACCATGCAAGGGGATGATGAGGGTTGTAGCTCTGCAAACCTGACTGGTTTTTGGTTTTTATCTTTGTAAACTTCCTTCTGCAGGTAACCCTGCCAGTGAGGGGACAGCATTGTGGGCAGCCTGAACTCAGAAATTAGGCTCTCGTACTCCAGACTTGCAAACCATCCTGTCTGCTGGGGGTTGAGGGATTTCACCAGTTCTTCAAATGAAAACATCACCTCCTTAATGCTCCTTGAAGTGGATTCGGAGCTTCCCTGTTTACTACAGCTCAGCTTTCTAGAGTCAAAGTTTAAAGGTTGTTAACACCCCTGTGGAGAATACCAAAAAGCTGCTAGCTCTTTGCATATGAGCACTATGTTAATAATAGGTTGCCACATCCCTGATGTTGTACTGAGGTGTGGCCTCAAGAAAAATTTGTGGTTAGGCTGCAATTAAACAACTCAGGGAATCGAAACTGATTTTCTCTTTAGTTTCCCGTTAGGAATTACCCTTCTTGTGTTGCTGTTTTGTGACTCATGAGGGATTTTTGTTGATGTCTGAGGAGTGGTAAGAATTGGAACTGGGGATACAATACAAAGCCATGAAGAAACTGCAAGTTTGTAAGCAGTGCTGGGATCACAGATGAAAGAAGCTGAATGTGTCTTAAGGCCAAAAGACGCCAAGTAAACAGAGATTACTCACTTTGATTGCTTTGATTACAACAATTACTCAGTTTGATTGCTTTGATTACAGTAATCTAAGTTTGCAATAAGCACAGAACTCATCTCTCAAGTAGCAGTTCTTGAAAAACCGGTGTCAGATGAACACAATGCCAAACTCCTAAAACTTTTTAACTTCTTTGAGTGACCAGAAGCGCACTGGAGGAAGGTGCATCAGAGGCAGGTTATGCCTGTGGTTCCCAGCCTGCCTGCAGCCTGGGCTCATGCTGCCCTGGCTCCATGTGAGCCACAAGGCTGGGCAGAGCTGCAGGGGGAACATTTGGTTTGAGGGAGCCCCCTTTCCCCTGCACGTGTGCACCCCAGCAGTGCTCCTGTGACCCAGTGCTGTCTCAGCTGGGGCACAAGGAACCTGGGCTGCAGCAGCTTTACTGCAAGCACCTTCTCTGTTTTCACTTCCATGTCATGCCTCATGGTTCCCAGCCACAGAAAAACAGCTCTGCAAGGCTTCACTCACACACATTTCAGCTAGTTCATGTGTAAATATGGGGCTCAAGCAGCTGAGGTTGTGGAGCACACTGGTGCCAAGTCACAGGAGGCTTTGCTGTGAACTTTTCAGTTCCTTGGTGGCAAGTGTGTAGCTCTGCTTCATGGAGTCCACTGTGATGGTGTTCACAGGGGTCCGAGGATGAGGGAGAGACAGGATCTGACTCCACGTTTCAGAAGGCTGATTTATCATTTTATTATATATATTATATTAAAACTATACTAAAATAATAGAAGAAAGGATTTCATCAGAAGGCTGGCTAAGAATAGAAAAAGAAAGAATGATAACAAAGGCTTGTGGCTGGGACAGAGAATCTGAGCCAGCTGACTGTGATTGGCCATTAATTACAAACAACCACATGAGACCAATCACAGATGCACCCGTTGCATTCCACAGCAGCAGATAACCATTGTTTGCATTTTGTTCCTGAGGCCTCTCAGCTTCTCAGGAGGAAAAATCCTAAGGAAAGGATTTTTCAGAATATATCGTGGCTACATCCACCAAGGGGAGTCAATCCAGTGGTGGATGCCCCAGCCCTGGAAGTGTTCAGGACCAGGTTGGATGGGGCTTTGAGCAGCCTGGTCTAGAGGAGGCCTCTCCTGCCCATGGCAGGGGCAGTTGGAACGAGGAAAGGTTTTAAGACCCTTCCAATCCCAGCCATGAACACCAGGAAAGGGCTACAAGAAACATGTAAAGTGAAAAAATAAAGAGCCCTTACACAGGAATAATTCCTCTTCAGCCTGAGTTTGACCATGTGCTTTGAGTTTTGCTTGCCATTGCAGGGGGATTTGCTGGCACAATTTTGGGTTTAGTGCCACGTTGCTTGGGTTTCCTGTGTGTGCAGCAGCAGGCAGGGATGGGGAGGCACTCAGTCACCCCTTTTGCACACAAACAAGTCCAAAAATAACTTTTTCCTCCTTTCCCCTTTTTCATCTGTTTGTTTCATTATGAAGGAATTTGTGCTATTCAGAACAACACCCTAGTGCAGTATTTTTTTCTTTTTCTTCCTTCTACCCAAGAGTGAAACTGGTAATCCCTGTCCTCTTGCTGTGTCATGTGTTCATCTCATGTTACAAAGTCAGCAGTTTTTTGATTGCATCCGAGACAGATGTCCTGTTCTTTCAGGATAATCCTCCCTTGCTGTTTTTTAGGCCACAAATGCAATGAGCTACCTCTTAATTTATTTATTTTAATAAGCTCTCCAGATGTATTGGGCCTGTAGATAGGATGTTGTCCTTCAACTCTTTCCCCTCCCCAAAAAGCTTCTTTAGGTTATACAGGGCAGTTTTTGACTCTGCTTAGAAGTGCAGAATGGACTGGTGATCAATTATTCCTTAAAAAGCAAAGCACCAGTGACATTTATGTGTCACTTGTGTAGGACAGAGGAAATGGAGAAGGTGGGACATAATTTGTATGGTTGCATTCCCTAATGGATCTGGCCTGGTTTTGCCTCCTCATGTTGCTTCCAAGAATTGAGTTTCCTCTAAAAGGGTGGGACCCAGCCAGTTTCGTTTCAGTGCTGATGGATCAGCACTGAGATACCCAGAGGGGATGGAGAAAGACTCTCAGCCAAATGAAAATCAGACTGGAAACTTTATATGTCCTTTGCTAACTAAAGCCAAGAAGTGAGAAAGCAGGATACTTGTTTACAAAGGAAATTACTGTATCATGACAGAAGAACATGTGAGCTTTGCCCCTCAGAAACAGAGACTTCAAGAAAAAAATTAAGGAGTTTTTATTACTAAGATGATGGGAAGTTTTTACAGTCATTTTTTTCTCCCCTCTACACATCTGAAAGGGAGAAGGAAGTGGGGAGGAGGACACAGCAACTCCACTGTGCATTGCACTGGCTTGTGGCTGGCTGCCAGGTCACTCAGCCACGCTCTCACCTCCCCTCCTCAGCAGAGTGGGGAGAAAATACCACAAAACAGCTTTGAGATAGAGACAGGGAGATTGCTCACCAGCCACCATCATGGGCAAAAGACAGGAATCGAGGAAGATAATTTGATTTCCAATTAAAAATAGAGTAGGATAAGGAGACACAAAACCAAAACTAACACCACCTTCTCCCCACTCAGCCCTTTTGCCTAAGCTCAAGTTCATGGCTGACTGCCCTATCTCCTCTCTCTGCAAGGGTTGCAGGGGGATGGGGAAGGAGGAGGGGTCAGTTTGTGATGCTCTGTCCCTGCTGCAGCACAGGATCTCCCCACAGCTGAAGTTCCTGCTGGGATCCTGCTCCTGTGTGGGCTCTCCATGGGCCACACAGGGCCTGTCCAATTGCTCCATGGGGCTCTCCCTGGGCTGCAGGGTGGATCTGCCTCACCGTGGCCTGCACCACGGGCTGCACCAGAGGGCAATCTCTGCTCTGATGCCCAGAGCACCTCCTGTCCCTCCTTCCCTGGCCTCGGGGCTTGCAGGGCTGTGCCTTCTCCTCCCAGCTACAGCTGTGCCACAGTGCATTTGTCTTGGAGGCCTCTTGAGCCAGCTCTGCCCAACATAGGAACAGCTTCTGGTGTCGATGTACAGAGGCCAACACTGCCCTCCTTATTCCCCAAATGTGGCCATGCAGACCCAGCACATGTAAGCACACTGCTGAGGGATAAGGTGTAGCCTTCCCTGTGGGAGCCCATGCAGCATGGCAGTGAGCACAGTGTGAGAAACAACAGCAGTGAACACAGTGTGAGAAACAACAGCAGTGAGCACAGTGTGAGCAACAGCAGTGAGCACAGTGTGAGCAACAACAGCCCATGCTGGGCATCACAGCACTGCAGCCTCACACAGGGAGCCTGGAGGTGCCCAGGGGCCTGGATCTCTGGGATGCCCTGTCGGTGCTGCTGATGGCAGGGGAGTGACAGCCTTGTCCCAAGGAGTACCTGGCACACCCTGAGCCCAGGGGCTGCTGCAGCAGTGAGGGGGCTCCCCCAGAAGCTGTGCTGGTGAGAGTGTCTGGTCCGTCGGGCCCCGTGTGCAGCTGCACGTGTGGCAGACACAGCTCTGAGAAGGCAGGCGGGGTGGATCAGGGCAGCAGAGAATTTGCCAGCCTTGCTCTGTGGGGTCTGTAATGGGGAGCCAAAGTTTCAGGCTCCTTCTGTGGCCTTCGTGGCACTCAGAGGCCTTGGGCAGCTGAGCTGTTTTCATGGATATTGGGAATTACATAAGAACAAAATACATTAAAACCAGCCCATGTGTCTGCCTGGCATGGCTGTGGTGCCCTTTACCATGGCTGGAGCCACAGGGCACCTGGAGCTGTGGTGAGGCTGCTTCCACGGCCCATGATGTCTTGGGAATGAGATCCTGAAGGAGTTCGGGTTCAGCAGCGCTGTTTGAAGGCAGCAGCGCTGTTTGAAGGCAGCAGTGCCGAGGCATCGCTTCCTTGGGAGCCCCACGTGGCAGCCGCTGTTTGCGGGGATGCCTGGGATTTGGGACGGTGAGCGGCAGTGCCGGTGCAGGGTTCCAGGTACTCCACGTGGATCCCCTAGAGCAGGGTCGCCGCGGCGAACACGCACCGGCGGCCCCAGAGGGGACCCTGCCGCCGTGCGGGGTGCGGCGGGCTCTGCGGGCGGGCGGAGGCTCCGCCCGGGGCTGCGGCGGCTCCCGGGCCCCTCAGCCGGGCCAGCCGCCATGACCGGGCGCGGCTGAGGGGCCGCGAGGGGCGGTGACGTCACGGCGCGCCGGACCCCCGGGCCGGTGGCGCCTGCGCGGTGGCGGTGCGGGATGGGGAGCCCGGCGGGCGCTCCCGCCAAGCGCGCGCGGTGCGAGGAGCCCCGCAGCCCCGGCAGCGACCCGCGGCTGTGGGACACGGAGCGGCTCTGCCAGCACCTCGCCCGCTGCGGCGTGGGCGATCCCGGCCTGCTGCGCCGCTTGCGAGGTACGGCGGGCCGGGGCCGGGGCCGTGGCCTTGGCCATGTGGCCCGGCCGCTGGCGCTGACGCTTCTCTTGCTCCCGCAGAGAGCGGGGTCACCGGGAGAATGCTGCTGGACCTGCCGGCCTGCGCCCCCGAGCTCATCCGCGTCTGGTGAGCGCCGCCCGCGGGGAAAGGGGGGCCGAGGCCGGGGAGCCGCGGGGAGCGGCCGCACACGCGCGTGGCCCGGCTCGGCACGGCTCGGCACGGCTCTAGGCCGCGGCCACCCCCAGCGCCTCGAGCGGAACTGTGCCGGGGGAGGGCGAGGGAACGGCTCCATGGGCTGATCCCCGACCCTCGGAGCAGTTCCCGTTTCCGGCTGATCCCAGCACAACCGCGGCGCGGACTCTTGCTGCCCAAATAACCTCGATCCTTTAGAAAGGTTTAACGAAAATCCCCTGGGCTAGCACGGTGACTTTTGGAGTGTTGCTGGGAACGCAGGAGTGAGCTCCAGGGGTTCTGATAGGAGCTTTTCTGCCTGAAGTTGCTGCTGCTCCAGCGCCAGGAGCGACAGCGGCCCCGCTGTTTGACAGAGCGGGAGGTGCTGCCCGGCACAGGCCGAGTGTCACCCGTGTCCCTTGGAGAAAGCCCGGGCTCAGCTTTGCGGCACTTGGCGCTCTGTTGTGCCGACAGCAGCGTGGGCTGCTGTGCAAATAGAAGTGTTGTAGTGTGTTCTGGCAGAACAGGGGCCTGTGGGTGGGTGGCCGAGTCCTTGCTGCCCTGAGCAGTCCAGAGCAGGCAGCCCGGCTGGTCATGGTCACTGCCACAAACACGGGGACGCTGGCTGCTGTTCTAAAGTGCCTAAAGGATTGTTCCCAACAGTGAGCAACGACTGGGCCCAAAACCCTTTTATCTTTCTGGTGGTGAATATATTTTCTTGCTTTTCTGGAACAGCAGAGAGTATGAATCTGTCCTGCTGTTCTGTGCATTGGAAAGGCCCCTTTGCCCCTTCTCTGCCCCACCCCAGGGATCCTCTTTTGCTCCCCTCTACTGGGATGTGAGCCTGCTTGCTCACCACATACTTCCTGGTGGTTTTTAATCTTGTAATGTCTTTTCTTTACTCCTTTGTTAACCTTGTTTATACTGTTTCCCTCAAATTTGTCTCAAAACCCACGTGCTGGCTCCAGCTGTTTGCTGCTGTTGTGGTTGGTAGCCCCGAGGTAGGCTGGGGTGTGTGATCTGGCAGGTGCACACAAGTGCAGAGCTGTGCTTTCTGCTGGGGGTTGGAGCACTTTGGTGTTGGCACCTTGGCTGAAGGCTCCTCTGAGCTCATGCTGGGGCTGAAGGGCTCTTCCTCTGTTTTATTGAGACATCAGCGTGCCAAGGGGAGTGGGAATGGGCGGGTGTCTGGGCATGAGTATTAGAAGAGAATAAAAAGCTGGTGTGACACAGTGGGACAAGGCAGTGTCCTTTGGACAAGGTAAGACGTGCTGGAGTCATTAAGGTATTTTTGATTTCTCTTTTTGTGGAAGAGGGGTTTAACTGCAGCAGTTTGAAGCGTGCAGATAGAAATGCTGTGATGTGGTGGAAGGCAGCTGAAGGCTTTGTTTATTGCTGAAGTGTTGGAATCCATAAGGTTAGAGGATTTTTAAGAAATGGTTAAAAAAAGTATGCAGGCCTTAGATTAGAGTTTTGTTAGCATTGCAGAAAAGTTTCCCATGCAAGCAGAAAAGTTTCCCAAGCAGTAGATGGGACAAACAACAATAAGCCTCTGTAGAATTAGCTTTAAGATAGCAACAAAGTTATTTAATGTATATCTTCAGAAGATTAGTATGAATAGAACTCTGTTCTTTGTCTCTTATGAACTAATCTTTGTTTTAGCTACTATTACGTATGTTTTATAAGATTAAATAAAATACTTGTCAATATGTTTTCTGTGTGTAATTAGCTGAAAATGTAAACTGAGATGATTTTATGTATTGCTGTATGAGCCCTCCTAGAAGAGACATTTTGAAGTAGATCAGTGAGCTGTCATGTCTCCTTTTTATATTCTGAGACTGATGTACTAGAAATAAAAGCAAAAATCTCTTCACTAGTCTGTTTACAATGTTATCCATATTTAGATATTTTGCCGCAGCCTAGTGAGTTCCTTTTTAAGACGTAAATTCCTGACACAATTAAACTTATATCTACCCTTCCCTCAACAATTGGTGTCTAGTGTGAGGAGGTAATTGCCTGACTGAAATGACAAGCTGATGTCTAGTTTTATTTAGGATTTTCCAGGAGGCTGGTTGCTTCTGGCAGGGAAGGAGCCTCGTGTCCAGGACACACTGGACATGTGCAGCCAGCGTGGGGAGTCAGAGACTGTCTGTCAGTGCTGAATTGGACAGCAGGATGGGGTAGCCAGGATCCCTCAGCACGGGATGCAGGTGATGGGGGCACAGGACTGTGGAGACCTCTCAGTTGATGTGGAGAGCAGATGGTGATGGGTTTGCAGGTGGCTTGTGCGTTTTCTTTGTATAAGATATTGATAACTTTGTATATGTTTCCTTCTTTGAGATCTGACATCTTGTTTCTATTAAGCTGAAACTGTTGAGAGTTGGATGAGAAATTGCTCAAGCATTCTGGTTTTTCTAAACATCTCTCACTTTGCACTAAGAACAATTCTTTTGCTGTCCATTGCACACTGTCCTGCAGTAAGCTGGGTCATTTCTCTGTGACAAGCCACTAATGAAGGCATGTCTTTAGTTCCCTGGGTTCCTGGATGTTCAGAGGGGGGAGCTGGGGCCAGTGGTGCCTGGAGGAAGGGCAGTGAGATTCCCAGGTGTTCTCATGTTGCTGACAATGGATGTTTTGTTGATGTACAGAGCACTGAACACAGATGATGAGTGGGGCTGTCTGGCCGACCTCTTTGGGCACAGGAAAGGGATTTTCTGGTCCTTGTGACCTGTGGCATGAAGGGGTATGGACCAAGCAGGGAGGGGAGTGGATGAGGAAGTGCCATTGTCACCATTTCCAAGCAGCCTTCAGTAACGCTGCTTTGGCTGTTAGAGGAAATGCAGAGTCCTGGAGAACTACAGCTTTCTGTATTAACAGGATTTGTCTTGCTTAGGGGGTCTGGCCTTGTAGACTTCAGGTGAAAAATGCCCTGTAGCTGTTTTCTGTCTGAAGGAGGATGAAGAGCAGGGAAGGTGGGGCATCCAGGCACGTGGTCACACCAGGATCCACCTTGCAGGGCCTGACCTTTTCCCAATTGTTCTCCTCATCCCACCAGAGCAGCGAGTGGCTGTGTGGGACTGAGCTCCTGTCTGGGGTTAATCCACAGTAATCCTTCTTGGAGCCCAGTGTGGGGCACAAAGGGTTGCCAGATGACAGATCTGAACAGAGCATATTAAAACACAAATAGTGTGGCTAGCAGAACCATTGAAGTGATTCTTCCCCTGTGCTGTTGGGCCACACCGTGAGTGCTGTGTCCAGTTCTGGGTCCCCAATTTAGGAAGGATGTTGAGATGCTGGAGCATGTCCAGAGAAGGGCAGCAAGGCTGGTGAAGGGTCTGGAACTCAAGCTGGGGTTGTTTAGCTGGAGAAGAGGAGGCTCAGGAGAGACCTCACCACTCCCTGACAGGAGGTACCTTCTCCCAGGCAACAAGTGACAGGACAAGGGGACACAATCTTAAACTGTGCCAGGATGAGGTTAGGCTAGACATTAGGAAAAAATCCTTAACAGAAAGAGTGATTGGGCATTGGGATGGGATAGGCTGGCCAGGAGGGAGGTGGAGGAGTCATCATCCATGGGGGTATTTAAAAAGACTGGATGTGTCACTTAGTTTAGTTGATAAGGTGATGTTAGGTCATAGGTTGGACTTAATGATCTCAAAGGTCTTTTCCAACCTGGTTAATTCTGTGATTCTGTGTGAAAAATAAGTTGCTAAAAGCATTCATTATCTTAGTTTAACAGCTGCTGAGCACAATGTTGATTTCTTTGCCCTCAGATACCATGGAACACATGCTGTCTGGGCATCACCAAGGGAGCTTTTCATCTTGGAATTGTGGAATGGTTTGGGTTGACCTTTTTGATCATCTCATTCAGACCCCTGCCACAGACAGGGACACCTTCTGCTATCCCAGGCTGCTTCAAGCCCTGTCCAACCTGGCCTTGGACACTTCCAGGGATGGGTGCCCAGCTGCTCTGGGCAACCTCTGCCAGGACCTCAGCACCCTCTCAGGGAACAATTTTTTCCTAATACCCAATCTGACCCTGGCCTCTGGCAGTTTAAAACAATCAGCCCTGTCCTAAACAGTATCTGCTCTTCTGAAAGTCCCTCTCCCTCCTTTATGGTCTCCTTAAGGTATTGGGGGGCTTCAGGGAGGTCTCCATGCAGACTTCCCCTCTCCAGGCTGAGCAGCCCCAGCTCCCTCAGCCTGCCTGCACAGCAGAGGGGCTCCAGCACTGCCTTGTGGCAGTCTGAGCAGCAGCTGCAGCCCCAGAGCTCCCTGCTAGGGAAAGCAGCACCGAGTGGTTGAGGGAAACACTGCTCAGCAACAGCTCAAACATCACATGCCTGTAATATTTTAGGGATTGTGAATTATTAAATGATTCAGATGAGAATATGTAGTGCATCAAGCAGTACTTTTCCCTAATCACTAACACTTTATAGTCTTATTTTGTGTTAAATTTTATGTTGAAAGGCTGATATCAGACTGATCTCGGTGGTTAACTGCTGGGAGAAAAAGGATTTTCTCATGGTAGTGTTTGCTGTCCTGCTGAGGCTGAATCCATTTAGCTCAAGGGCAAAGCTTGCAGGCAGAGTTAGTAACAGTAGGTGTGATAGGGCATATTATCTCTCTCCAGACTTATCCCACCTGTGCTCTTAGGCTGCTGTGGCTACAGCAGAGAATCTGCACTGGAAGTTTAGCTGTGTTTTGAAGGGCACCTTTAATAATTTATTAAAAATGACAGCAAAATATCTTTGCAAAATATTAGCATCAGTCTCAGCAAAATTAGAACATGTTTTAAACTGCAGTGGTTTTGCTGCTGGAGTTGAAATTGATTTATGTCAAATTCAAGTTAATTTGATAAAATTAAACTTTAAACAGATGGTTGACTAACTATGAGAAATTTTTATAAAAATAGTTCGTTGGGACACTGACATTTTAGTTTAAGGAAGTTTTGCATCCTTAAAAAATGTCAGTTATGGGAAAGCAACGTGCAGCATCTGAATAAGTTTAAAGGACATTAGGTGTGGTTTACACAAATTTTTTTCATCAGTTTCCTGGTGGTTTTATTTCTCAGCTCTGTGTGAGTGGGAGAATCACCTACACTGCTCTACAGACATGTTCTGTAGCTATTTGTTTCCTTCCTTCTGTACTTGATTTTATATATATTTTGATAAATCCTTTCAATATTTTTCTGAAAAAATTGCAGTTGCAGTCTTCTTCCATCAAGGAACATCCAAGTAATGTGAACGTGCATGAGTAATTCCATGTGTACTGCAGATTGTAAAGGGACATGCATTGCAGACTTTGCTCTCAGGGTCTCTTTTTCCTTGCTAGCTGCCCAGCTGAGCGACTGGAAGTGCTGGCGTGCCTGACACAGATGCAGCAGCAGCACATGGAGGTGATGAAGGTAAGCCATGCCATGGGGACACCATGGCCAGCTCCTGTCCCAAGGCCTGCACAGGGCTCTGCTCCCTCTCTCTGCCCCCCCCTTCTTGGCTTGGTGCTGCCAGCTGGTGCCTTTCCTTTGCACAGAAGCAAACTCTGGGCCCTTGGTAGTGGTGGTCTGTGAAAAACCACATTAACTAGAAGAAATAATAGAATCATCATGTGGGAGCTTTCAGTGGGCACCTCTGGGTTGTGAGGAATTAAATGAGCAGAAGAGCTGTTTGACATGTGTTGGAGAAGCTCCCTTTCACATCCCTCTGTGCAGAGCCTCTCCTTGGTTTATTTTATCAGTTTTTTCCCCAGGCCTGAGTTAACAGACTCCTCCTTGCTGTCCCTGTTTCCTGTGTCCAGCTGTTTGTCCCAGAGGTGTGTGTTGCTCTAACTGGCCAGGGCTGTTCAGTAGTAGTCTGCACATCTGCTAGAGCCCTCCCAGCTCAGTGAGCAGGGGTAGAGAGCACAGGTAACCCTTATTTGCCTCGGTATTTTACCAGGATATGTGTGTGATGGAATGGTTTCACCTGCAGTTTAACAGCAAAGGTGAAAGATTTAATGTGTTTGCCTTTTCTACTTGAGTCCCTGTAGTTACTGAGATGTCTCTAAAAATATGTGCTCATCAGGAAGTACTTATTTCATATTGTGGTCATTTTGGGGGTTTATATTTTGTTTTAAGAAAAAAGTGACAATCATAATTTCCACCCAGCAATACTGCATTTGATTTTAAAAGCATGAACAGTATCCAGGCAAACACTTTTATTGGATATCTCAGACATGCATTGCAGTATGCTGCTTTAATTGGAATAGGAGATTAATAAAGACAGCAGTTTTCACACGTGTTAAGTTTTGGAATGACACAGTTGGAGATAACATTTTTAGGCATTTTGACTTCTCTTGCTATGTGAAATAGGCAGTTTTATCTTTTTGGTGTCAAGCTTTAGTAGTTCTCCAAGACAAATTTGGTTGCGCAGAGAGGTTGAGGATGCCTGGAAGCGTTCAAGGTCAGATTGGACAGGGCTTGGAGCAGCCTGGTCTAGTGGAAGGTGTCCCTGCCTATGGCAATATGTTGGAACAAGGTGATCTTTAAGGTCCCTTCCAACCCCAACCTTCCTATGATTCTGTGATAGATCTTGATATAGAGTTGGCAGGATATGTCTGTTTTACAGAAGGTAAACAGTCCCTCCAACCAAACACCTGACCATTCTAGATATCCTTTACCTTGGTGCCTGCTTCTTTGCAAAGTCAAATTTTCATTTTTCATTTTTTTCTTGCTTCTGTAGGTTTTTAATGATCCTATCCATGGGCACATTGAGTTGCATCCCCTGCTGGTTCGGATCATCGACACCCCTCAGTTCCAGCGCCTGCGCTACATCAAGCAGCTGGGCGGGACGTACTTTGTGTTTCCAGGGGCCTCTCACAACCGCTTTGAGCACTCCCTGGGGTAAGGGGCTGCTTCCCGTGCATCTCTGGCACCTGGATATCCCTGTCTGCTTCTGCTGCCGTGGTTGTGCTGCAGCCAGGGGGCACTGCTGTCTGAGCATTGCTGAAAACTGCTGGGGGGGCGTTTCTGGTCTCAAGTGTTCCTGGATAGCCCATGTCATTGTGGGCTGTTCCCTTGAATTTCTTTTAATAAAGACAGATAAACAAACCAAGATGGATCAATGTTAGATTTCCTTCCCCACTCTTTATTCTAAGAATATTATTATTTTATATTATATATTTTATATAATATAATATATTATATATATTATATAATATTTATATAATATATAATATATTTTAATATATTTTATATTATATAATGTTATATAATAATATTATATAATAATTTATATAATAATATAGATAATAATATATAATATAATAAATATATATTATATAATATATAGAATTATATATAATATATGATATATATAATATATATAAAATATATAATTTTATCTAGGAATATTATTATAATATTATTCTTATTCTAAGAATAATGTTAGCTAAAAAACTGTAAGTGTTTTATGTTCCCCCAGTCAAAATACAAGTTTTAAAACATAAACTTAATACCAGGGCTACTCTTGTGATCTGCCAAACAGTTTGTAATCCCCAGACATCATCCAGCACAGCCAAAATGAATTTGATCTGTAATGTTTGCCTTTGTAGGTAGATGTGCATCATGCAATCCATGGCAGGTTGTCAGGCTGAGAGCTGTCATTCCATTAAGCAGAAATATGATGGACCCAAGGATTCATACATAAAGGTCATTCATACATACTAGGTCATTCACACTCCTCAGGAAAGCTGATGAATGACAAATTTGAGCTTGTTTTAAGGATATATCTCAAAGAGCAGTTATTAAATTAAAATTAAGCTTGTAAGTTTTTATTCAGATGATTTGGCCAGCCTAAAGTTGCTTTTGTTGGTGCTGAAATATTGTGGAGTAAATCTGGCTTACTTGTAATGAAATTCAAATGGCTGTTTGCAAAAGGGTGAGATGAATAAGGCAGCCTGGATTGATTGCATTTGGTAAACCAAAAAGACAGAAATGTGGTTGAATATAAACAAAGTTTTCACAACAGAAGTCTGAACACTTCAGTTCTATCAGCAGCTTTTCTTTTGAATATTCCATTGATCTATTGAGTTAAATTTAGGACAGTTGTTCTCCACTTGTTTATAATGCCAAAGATTTCTACAAATAGAAGAACTGAGCTTTGTGTGCTTATTGGTCTACTAAAAAGCCATCAAATGGTGAAATTTGGACTAATGAAACATATTACCTCGTCATAGAGGTAATTATTACCTTGTCCTTGTCTTGCTTTAAGCTGTTCTGAAAGGGGAGCTGTTGAGGCAAGTAGAAAAAGAGGTTTGTGCAGAGGTTATAATAAACAGTTTATGGGACTTTGTGCCATATATTTGCTCCTACTGGTTTTGTGCCCATTCACTTAAATAAATTCTCAAATCTAAAATGAATGAGAAGAAGGGAAATAATTGTCATGAGCTATTAATAAAGCAGCAGTTTGAAAAAAGTACCAAATGCTTTGGTGACTGGTGTGGACTTTTGCAGTTTGCCTTGGCTGGAATTCAAGGATTCAGTGTAAGCTTTAAGATTCTCACTGTCAGTGGTGCACTGCTGTTCCCTTACACAGCTACCATGGGGTTGTGTGTTATGAAATGCTGCAGGATGCTGTAGAGCCTCTGTGTTTTGGGCATGGTATCCATTTGGGCATGGTATCCCATGCTTTTTTGCTTTTGGAGGACTCAAACTCTATCACAGGAAGCAGTTTGTGATTTTCCCACGTCAGGGTTGGGTATTCTTTGTATGCTGCCTCTCAGATAAGGGCTGTGACTTAATGGATCAAAACAGAGTAGGGGAGCTTCTGTTTTTTTGTAAATCCTAAACCAATGCTATATTTCTTTCTTTCCCTCCTGCAACAGGGTTGGCTACCTTGCAGGATGTCTGGTTCGTGCACTGAAGGAGAGACAGCCAGACCTGGGTATAACTGAGCGAGACATCCTCTGTGTAGAAATTGCTGGGCTTTGTCATGATTTGGGTAAGGAACACCTGAGGTGGGTTGTTGCTCTTGGAAAGCTAAGCAGGATGAAAAGCTGGATGTGAGGTCAGAACATGTGAGCTGTTTTGGGCTGCTTAGTGCATGGCCATATTCCAAGACAGGTTTTATCTGTTGTGTTTGGTCTGGAGTACATCTGTGGAGACAGTTCCACCTGAATCTGTAGTCACTCTTAGCTACTGTTTTGTCCTGTTTCCAAATGGTGCTTAGAGTTCTGCCCTCAGTGGCTGAGTGTCCACTTCTTTCTGTGATTTCTCCAGGTCTCTTCAAACATTTCAGAATGAAAATTAGTATTCCTTTCAAAAATTTTAACATTGATTTCATAGCTACTTCTTTTTTCAGAGCTGACACAGAATAATTTAATATTGTGTTGCTGCAGTACTTGCCTGTGGTGTAGGTGCTGGAACTGGTTGCTGAGTGCAGCAGTAGTACTTGAAGTATCTTAGGAAAGTGCACTTGCTATACCTGAGTCTTCCTCACAGGTGATGGGGAAGGAATTATCTGGATGGTTGCACTCAGTGGTGGTTACAGGTCGATGTCCAGGTGGAGCCCAGTGAGGAGTGCCCTGTGTGGGGCTGGTGCTGTTGGATGTCTCTGTCACTGATGGGCACAGTGGGGTCCATGCACCCCTGGGCATTTGCCAACAGCACTGAGCTGTGATGGGGTCATAAGGAGGGAAGGGATGGGGCATCCAGAGGGACCTGGACAGGCTGGAGGGACAGACAGTGGATTGAGAGCACCCTCAGGAGAAGAACTTGGGGACATTGATGGGTAAGACAGGACCAGAGGCAGCCCACATGTAGAAGAATTCTTGGCAGAACAAGGGCAGGCTGTACTTTTACAAGAGTGGAACAACCCTGGCCTGCAGATTACAGAGTTACTTTGAAGACCATGTACTGTCCTGGAACAAGATAGCCCATGTGCTGTCCTTGAATGGATACAACAGGAGAAAATGAGCATTGTGCCAGGATGAGGCCAGATGCCAGGCACATTGTAGGAACTGCTAATTTAGCCCACCTTAGCTAAAAATGCTTCTAGCAAATAACATGTATGTGTGAATGCAGCTACCTCACCAATGAGCATTAAGCACTAGTGGTGTGAGGCAGTGCAGAGAGGCCAAATATGCCAAAGTTGCTGAAAAAAGCAGAAGGACATGGAGCCATGTTGGTGTGATTGTTGGTACTCAGCCAACTCTCTGTGGGGCTGGGCTGACCCCAGCATGGGCACAGGTTGGGGGGATTCTGCCCCTCTGCCTTGCCCAGGTGACCTCCACCTGCAGAGCTGCCACGAGCCCTGGGCCCCAGCATAAGGATGGGGTGCTACTTATGCACCCCAAAATTACCCCAAGGCTTTGGAGATACACAAAGGGCTGGAGCCCCTCTGCTCTGGAGCCAGGCTGGGAGGGCTGGGGGTGTTCAGCCTGGAGGAGAGGAGGCTGCAGGGAGGCCTTAGACCACATAAAAGTGGTTCCAGGAGAGCTCAGAGGGACCTTGGACAGGGGCTTGGAGTGACAGGACAAGAAGGAATGGCTTCCCACTGGCAGAGGGCAGGGTTAGATGAGATATTGGTTAGAATTCTTCCCTGTGAGAGTGGGGAAGTCCTGGCACAGGTTGCCCAGAGAAGCTGTGGCCACCCTATCCTTGGAAGTGTTCAAGGCCAGGTTGGAGAGGGCTTGGAGCAGCCTGGGGTAGTGGAAGGTGTCCCTGCCCATGGCAGAGATCTGAATGAGATGATCTTTAATGTCTGCTCCAACCCAAACCAGTCTGAGACTCTGTGATATGTCAAGAAAAGTCAAATACAGGAGAATTCAGATCCTAACCTTGCTCAAGAAATTGTTGCTGACATCTATGTCTCAGACTAAACCTGTGTTTATATTTATATATTTATTTTATATTTATTATATATCTTTATATTTAAGGTCATGGGCCATTTTCACACATGTTTGATGGAAGATTTATTCCACTTACTCGTCCAGATTTGAATTGGAAGGTAGGCTTTTCACTATTAAAATAAAAAGACATACCTGAAATGTTTAGAGGCAGAATAATTAATCTTTAAAGAGTTCCAATGCTTTTGAGGCTTTAGTGGTCATCTGGCCTTACCTTTTTGCATCATTTTGATGGCTTAATTGAAAACCAGAATGTTGTTTTCTAATCTTGTGGTGATATCCTTGTTAGGTCTGCACTGATCATTTTTGGTCAGCATTGTGCCTTAAAATGCATATTGAGAGCTTTCTGCAGAATATATTTTACATTTTAAAAATACCAACTGGCTGCTTCCTTTCCAGTATGTTTAGTCCAACGGCAGGATATTCAATATTGTTTAGAATTCAAACTTTCCAAACCAGTTGTTTGCTGTGAATGAAGTGCAACACAGTCCTTTCAGGCCTCTCTCTGCTTGTAATTTCTTAGCAAAATCAGATGAGTAAACTGGTTAATCTTTTACACAGCAAAATTGATTATTTTGTCTTTTAGCATTGTAACTGTGTTGCTGTTGTTTGTCAACACACACAATTAACAGCTCTCTGCAGGAGAGTGCATTTCTGGACTCTTTAGAGTGGGTGATTCCCTCTTCTGTTTAATTGAAAATGACCAGGAAAGCACCCAGCTGCTGCACTTCACACCAGCCTGCCCATGTCCCTGCTAGGCAGTGCTGATGGCTTGGAGTAAAGCTGTGACTCTGCAGGAAAGATGCTTCAACTATGTAATACAATATTTGGATGGGTTTTTTTCACAGCATGAAACTTCTTCTGTTCAAATGTTTGAGCACTTGGTCACTTCCAATAAACTAGAAGAAGTCATGAGGTCCTATGGTCTTGTCCTGGAAGAAGATCTGTTGTTCATCAAGGAGCAAATAGGAGGGCCCATAGATGAAACTGCCTGTGTGAAATCGGTGAGTCAGGCTGTTGCTCCTGTGCTCATGCCAAGAAACATCTTTATTCTGCTGAAAGAACAGATAATTTTGGCTTCTGCTATATGTTACTTCTAGCTCTATGAAGTTCTGGGAATCTTGTCACAACTGATGCTGGAGGAGTGTTGTGTTTATTTCTTACAGTGCTGGTAGATGTGTTAATGTGCTTACAGCTCCCTGAGAATTCTTACCCAAAAGCTTCCAGATCAGAGGAAAGCTGTAGAAAGTTACTTGTATTTAGGGAACCTAACTGGTGACTGGGATCCACTCAAGGGTACTGAAGAGTTGGAAGAAGTGCTCACCAAAGTATTTTTCATCATTTACATGCAGTCCTGGGTGGTCCCAGTTGACTGGAAATCAGCAGATGTGGCTCCACGAGGAAGGGTCAGAAGGATAATCCAGGGAGCTTGAGGGCTGTCAGCCTGCCCTTGGTGCTAGGGAAGGTCATGGAGCAGATCATCCTGAATTCCATCCTGCAGCACCTACAGGACAAGCAGGGAACCAGGCCCAAGCAGCCTGGGTTTAGGAAGTGCAGGTCATGTTCAGCTGGAGGGCAGGAAGGCTCTGCAGAGGGATCTGGATAAGTTGGATCAATGTGCCCAATTGTGTGAGGTTCCACAGTGCCAGGTGTTGGTCGTGCTACAGGCTGGGCTCAGGGCAGCTGGAAAGTGGCTAGGCAGAAAAGAGGGGCTGTTTGGTTCACAGTGACTGAAAATGGGCCAGATGTGCTCAGGTGGGCAAGAGGACAATGGCCTGTACCAGCCACAGCATGGCCAGCAGGACCAGGACAGTGACAGTGCCCCCGTGCTGGGCACTGCTGAGGCCACAACTCGAATTCTGCATTCAGTTTTTGACCCCTCACTTGAAGAAAGACACTGAGGTGCAATGGAGAAGGGCAGTAGAGCTGGGGAAGGGTCTGGAACACAAGTATGATGAGGAGCAGCTGAGGGATCTAGGGGGGCTTGGCCTGGAGTAAAGGAGGCCTCCCCCAGTCTGGATAACAAAACTGGGCACTGGCGGTGATCAGGCAGTGAGGAATCCAAGCCTGGCCCAAGAGCCAGAGCCACAACAACTTTGATGACAGCAGTGAAATGCTTGGATTTATTGCAGTCGCAAACATAGAGGATGAGACTTGAAGAAATGAGTTGCCTCAAGAAGCAAGCAAGAGGGGATGGTAGTTGTTAATCATTGCAACTCTATGAAAGACCTCAGTCCTCTCCTCATTTTACACTTTGCAGCTTTTGTCATCTCTTCAAGGACACTCATTCAGTTGCCACCAGAGTAAACAACTGGTAGCAGCTGAAGTCAATGGGAGATCTGTCAGGACAATCTGGTCTTAATCAGAATTTATATGTAGTCCCAAACAAGTAACCCACAAATGTTCACGCTTGCCCATTATTTTCTGCTGCAGGAGTGGGTGGCAATCCCCTGGCAAATACAAGGAACTTGGAGTAGTGAAATTGAGTCTGAGATCCTATAGGAAGAGGATGTCCATTTACAAAGTTCACAAGCTGATTTTATCCCACTGGGCTCGTTTGCACACAAATCTTGGTGCCTGCCACTGGCATTGATCGTGTGCCAGGTTCTTTCCCCGTGTCTGGTTTGCCTTGTTTGGATCCTGTGCCTGTTTTCCAGCAGGATGCCAGGAAGGGGAGTGCCACACACGGTACATGGCAGCACCTGCCTGGTGCCAGGCAGCACATGGCACTGGCAGGCTGTGCACTGTGGTGCAGGCCTGTCATGACATGGACAATGGCTCTTCAGGCACCAGACATAAACAGAGTCCTGAGCATGTCCCAGGAGCAGAGCTCTGTGATCATGGGATTTTTATCCATGATCTGTTTGCATCCTTCTGCTTGCATGTGTTTCTGTTGCTATTCACATCAGTTTTAGTATTTCTGTAGTGCAGGTAACATGGAAGCTATGTTTGCATACAATGCTTTCCACTTTCAGAATTTCAAGGCCACTTCATGGCATATTTTTAGGTGAAGAATCTTTAAATTTTCAAGAAAATGTGCACCTTGTATCTTATTATTTTGGTGTTTGTTTCCTATTTAACTTATGGCTGAATTGTCCCTTGTGAGGCAGGAGTTTAAGTAGCTGAATATTCAAAAATTTTTTCTTAAAACTTCTAAGTAAGTGTTTTTAAACTGTGTTCTATGAAGTTGTAGATTGCAAAAGATTGCAGGGCAGTGACATATTTGTGTATTTAATTCCCTGAAAATGAAATAATTCCAAAATTTCCCCTCTTTGTTGATATGTTGTTTTTTGTTTCTTCATTCCCAAGCTGCAGGCTTTCTTTTAGTAGAGTAATGGGCAATGAATACTTGTGTTCATGGGTTTTATTCTTCTTGAGATTATGAGAAGACAGTTGCTTAGGCCCTCTTCTGAATTTCTAATGCCTGATAGCTTCTGGAAGTTCTTTTCTTGTCTTTGTGTTCTTCACTACCTCAGTGTTGGATGTCTATCACAAGCAAAGTCAAGGTATATTCCCACTGTCTTTGAAAAGCCTTTAGACATTGTTGGTACACTTTAATTTCTTGTTGTTTCTGATGTTTTTCTTCTTGGCTCCCCTGTCAGTGGCCCTACCGTGGTCGACCAAAGGAGAAAAGTTTCCTCTATGAGATTGTAGCTAATAAGAAAAATGGCATTGACGTTGACAAGTGGGATTATTTTGCAAGGTACAAATCTTACATTTTATTATGAATTCCTATTGACAAAATGCTACCATATGTACAAAAATGATCCTGTGGTTGAACACTCTGTGCAATATTTCTAGGGATTGCCATCACCTGGGAATCCCCAATAACTTTGACTATAAGCGATTGCTTATCTTCACCCGGGTGTGTGAAGTGGGGACCCAGAAGCACATCTGCCCCCGTGACAAGGTGAGCAGGGGGAGCACCTGGGGGCACACAGGGGAGCTGCACCCCGTGGCTGGGGGTCCTGCCCCATACTCCCTTAGCCCAAGAGGGACAGAAGTATTGGCTGCTCTGAACGTTTTTCTCAGAAGCTGCTTTTTGGGAGGGGGACAGAGCAAACCATTGTTTGAAAGGATTTGTGGCAGATCCTATCAGGGGAGACTCTACAGACCCCTTAGATCTGTGTAATCCTGCTCCAGGTCTGCTGGGCAGGATGTGAATTTGGCTGTGGTGAGGGGCTGCTAAAGGGATGAGGGGTCCTCTCCTCTGCCTGGGGTCACTGTTAGCACTCTGCCCTCCTGCAGTGGCCTGAGCAGGTTTCAAAATTTGGAAATTGTGAATAATAATCATTCTGCTTTATGCTGTGAATGGGAGGAGACAAGTAATTTGATTAATTGATTGATTGTTTTAATTTTCCTAGTAAGACAGTGACAAAAGTAAATGCTAATAGGGTTTTTTTGCTTCAGGAAGTTGGAAATTTGTATGAGATGTTCCACACCCGGAATTGCCTGCACCGGAGAGCATACCAGCATAAGACTGGCAACATCATTGAAATAATGCAAGTGTATTTTCCTTTCCTTCCTTTTCAGTTTATATTTCAATTCTGGAAACAATCCATATCCATTTGGAATATTCAGAAAATCTATAAGGTGTGACATAGAATAAAAGCTACTTCTGATTCTTGTGAAAAGACTTAGTGCTGAGGGTATCATAGAGGCTGTGGTTAGCAAAGCAAACAAAAACAGGACAAAAGTATCATTCCACATTAAATTAAATCAGAGGAAGATTGCTAAAGGCCTGAAGAAGCACAAGACTAGGGTGTGCTTAAACCTTTTAAACTGCTGACAGCTGAAGTCAAATCCTTATCTGCAAGTTAGAGACCACTTAGCTCAAACTGCCTGGTTACTAGAGCAAGGTTGCTGACAAAGTCATGAAAGGGCTGATGTAGTTTAGCTGAGGCCTGGCTTTGTGTTTATGTAATGCAAGATTTGTTCAGGACCAACTCAGCTGCCTATCTGCTGTTTTACCTCTCTTGTTGATGTCTATAGAATTTTCCTTATAACATTATTCTTTTTACTTTTCTTGAGAATCAGAATTACTTGTATCTCCAAATCTTTTTTTCCTTAGGGTCTTGTCTGCTGGGTAGCTGTTGAGTTTGGTAAAAAGGAATGTTAAGGATTACACAGTACAAGAGTGATTTGGATTGCTTTCATTTCATAAACTTCAGCTCTTGATTTAGGGATCCTCTAAAGCTCAGACTAAAAATGCTCAGGTTTGACAGTACCTATATATGACAAGTAAAACATATTTTTTAGTTTAGAAAAACTCAGTTCTTGGCTTCCTGTAATTATAGCAGCCTTTCCAAAACAGTGTCCAAACTGGCAATGACAGCAAGGTACTTGGAAATTTGGAAGAACCTCATATTTAGATTATAATTTTTCCCATCTGAAAAGATTACATGTTTGTGATGCTTTCTCTTTACAATGCTTTGTACCTTCTCAGCTAACTGGGGAGGCAGGGAGTCTGTACAAGAGTTTGGTCATCTGTGAGGGAACCTTACTGCAGCTGAGGGACCCTGTCACTGTTTTGCAGGGTTCTGCAGTTGTCTCAGCAGTGCTAAACCCAGTCTAAAGCAGAAAAAAGTGAATTTGCTCATTCATCTAAAGGTTACATTCTGTTTTGAACCTGTCTTCAGTAAATCTGTGTTGGAATGTGCAGTGACAGCATGGAGACAAGATGTTGCAGTGATCAGTTTGTGCTGTGTGCTGGGGATACAGTTCCATCTGTTGTCTTCTGTTTATAACATACTAAATTGTTTCATTCTGCCTGTTGACCAGTGAGGTGTTTCAAAATGGTATTATCCTGAAGTCATAATTTTGTCTCAAACTAGGATAACAGAAGCCTTTCAAAAAGCAGACAAATATTTTGAAATAAGAGGCTCTGAAGGAAAAGTGTATCGGATTTCTACAGCAATGGAGGACATGGAAGCCTACACTAAACTAACTGGTATGAGATGTCAGAATTATTTTTTTAAGTAAAAGAGCATGACTGCCTGTTAAAATGCTGGTTTTATTGCTTTTGTGCACAGAAGGTGGGGCAGGCCTGGACTGTCTAGTGCTTGTGATCTGAAATCTTGCTAGAAGGGAGAGCAATACCTTCTAATTTAAATGACTTTTATGTTGTGAGAGGGAGAAAGAAGCACTAACTTTGTATTCCACACATGTTCAGATTCAGCAGTGTTAAAGGTCCTGCCTGTGCCCTGAGTTTGTTGCACGTGTCACAAGGGGGATGTGAGTGAGCCCTAAGTGGTACTGCAGGTGGCTCTGTCAGGTGAAGTTCTGGATGTGTTTTGTGGTGTGAAGCTGTTCCCAAAGCAGGTTCCAAACAGCTCTCGTGGGGTCTCAGGTTGCCCTGCCTGCCTGCCTCTCCTGGTGTGTGCTGTGGGGCCCTGGTGTTCCCCTGGCTGTGTTCAGAGCTGCAGTGGGGCCAGGCAGCCCTTCTGCTCCAAGGCTGTGCTTGGCTCCGTGTGCAGGGCAGGGTGCTGCAGGTCCTGCTCAGGGCTGCTCCTGATTCCTGGCAGCTCTTGCAGCACCTCTCAGCTGCAGCTCACCAGGACTTCCAAGCCAGCCCTCCTGAGTTTCCATCACCAAGCCTTAGCTGGCCAGCAGAGAGACAGAAGAACTTCTGTCTTTGGCCCGTGGATGAAGTGACAGGGCCTGAGGGCACTGTTGCAGAGAATCCTGTGTGCCTTAGCCTTTGTCATGCTAAAGGCCTTCTGCTGGCAGTCCTTGATGTGCCACAGCCTCTGCAGTGTGCCCCCACTCCTGCTGCTGCAGTGAGGAGTCCCCTCTGTCACTGTGTGCCTCTGCTCAGGGCAGGACAAGGGTGCCTGCTTTGAGGGGCAGTAGTTGTTGGGGAACAATCTGCATTGCTGGGCAGAAAGGAAAGAACTGAGGTGAAGTTGTTGCTGGGGTATGGCTGGCCTGGCGGGTCCTGCTGTAACTACCTGCTTACCTCTGGCACCTGGTGAGGACCACAGCTCAGGGCAAGGACAGCAGGGCTGTGCCCAGCCTCTCACAGTCTGCCCCTGCAAGGAGCTGCTTGCTGGGACCTTGTTCTGCAAGGAGGGCTGAACAGCAAGGGAGAGTGATGTGAGGGATGTTCTGGCATATACAGTGGTGCATGAAGGATGAGTATGGCCTCCTCTTAAACCTCCTTCCTGCCTCTGGTACTGTGGAGAGTAAGATATTTCCTTTTTTTTTCTTTTCACTCAGGGAATTTCCTTCCAGTTGTTGCCTAAGAGATGGGCATGAATAATACTTAAGAGAGACAAAAGATGTAGCCAGGGAGGAGGGGGAAGGGTGCAATTTGCTACCCTTCTCTTGGGAAGGGCAGAGTAGCTGGAGATTTTGGGTGAGGGGCTGGGCTGGGCTCAGCTCTCGCCCTTGGGCTCAGAGGTGACACGGGCAGGCTGCTGCCCTGGGGAGGATTTGCTGCCACCGCGGAGTTCTGTCCTGCGCTGCTTTCTGCTCACCGGGGCTGAGCTGCAGCTGCTGAACTGGGACCTGTCCAACAGCCGACCTCACGGGGAAGGGACCCCGGCCCCCTCCCCATTCCTGTCTGTGGGACAAGGCCAGCCCTGGGTCAGCGCTGCTGGGCTTGATGTTGCTTTGCCTTCTTATACACACACATGCTAATAAGGAACTGCTATTCCTTTTCTGGTATCTTTGCCTGAAAGCCCTGTCATTTCAAAGTTATAATAATTCAGAGGGAGGAGGGTCATATTCTCCATTCCAAGGGAGGTTCCCACCTTCCTTGGCAGACACCTGTTCTTTAATCCAGCACAAGTGCTTGCAACCTGGACACTCCTTAGGGTTGTTTCAGCAGTCCCTGGTAAGTGATGCTTCTGTGAAATTGTCCAGTTATGGACCTCTACAAATGATGAACCTCTGGGAGGTTTGTAGCAGGCACAGGGAGTGCAAAGGCCCCGTGGAGGGCAGAGGCCTAAAGATAGGAAATGCCAAGTCATGGTGAATAGCTACAAGCCCCTCTCTTCCACCTTTCAGACCCCAGCTTATCTCTCTGTAACCCTATAGGTCACTCCCTTTTAACCCCTGCTATTGGACAGTTTCTGATCCCCCTATACCCTATATAATGGGCTGGTTTAGCCTGGTTCTGTAGAACAGCTGTCACTGGAATTCACAGATCACCCAATGAAGACATGGCTGTGGAACACCAGAATGGCCTTCTCCTCTCTCGCCCTGCGTCTGCCGGCCTGTGGCACCGAGCAAGCTAAGAGCCGAAATCACAAAGAGCTGATAATCACTAAAGAGATGATGTCCCTTATGCTTGCTAAGGTGGCCAGTGGCTGAGAGCTGCTTGGGAATCCAGGCAGTCTGTCCCCATAAAGGACTGAGCTATCCGGCCCGTGCTGCCTGCTCAGGCGCAAACCTGAACCCAGCAGGAGGCCAAATTAGAGGTTCTGCAGCAGAAGGTTCCCAACTTCCTTCCATGGTGGTGGGTGAAGAACCACCCTGTGTTGCCTCCTGATTTGGCAGCAAATCCTAGTTCTAGTAAAGGCTGAGACAGTGAAGTATTCCTTGTCACTGCTGCTTTTGCACAGGGAAGATGTTCATGGGCTTCTTATTTCCCCTGTATTATCTATTCTTTGTCTGAAGAGACCTGGTCTGTGGTTCCTCATGGAGGAGTTCCTGGCTTTGGTTGACCTTGTCCATTAACCCAGTTGCAGGTGTTTTGGTATATGGCTCACTGATTGTTCTGGACCCTGTTGGGAGCTCCTCAGGCCGGTTGCAGCTCCGGGTGGGCTCTTGCAGGGCTGTGCTTGCAGCATGTGTTGAAGCTGCCCTGGTATTCCTGGCCAGGGGATGCAGTCATGGGGTGCAGATGAGGCCAGCAGCATCCTGGCATCAGCAGTCTCTAGGACAGCCAAAAATAACCTTTCTGCTCTGAAGCCACATCAAAAGAAGCCTGTCTTGCTCCTGATGCTGGGAATCTTGCTGCATGTATCACTGTGTGTGGAGTCAGGAGGGAGGATTTTGATGCTTGCATCCAAAGTCTGAGAAAACCTGAAGGCTTAATGGCCATTCTTTATTTTTTTACAAGACAGAGTCTTTACCCATGTCCTGAGCTAGTTAGTGGTGGAGTTCAGGATAGTCTGCTAAACAAGACTGGCTAAATAAGAGGAAAAAGTAATTTCTAGTGAAATAACAAAGTATGTTGCCAGGGTGAGAATTGAGATAGTTTTTCTGCCAACAGCCATTGTGAATCTAATGATAATTAAGATAATATTGTGACTTCTCATTGTCAGACTTAGTTCCCTCATTCCCTGAAAGTGACTTTCCTGAACCAGCAGTTTTTCTGATTGCTTTAACCTTTGGCCCTGTTTGTTCATTTTACTGTGACACTGGATGGTGACATACATAACAAAAATCCATGCAACTTTGGCAGACTGTGTCTACCTGGAAATTCTGCACTCAAGTAATCCAGAACTGGAGGAGGCACGAGAAATTTTGCGTAAAATAGAACGACGCGAATTATACAAGTTTTTAGGAGAGACTCGACCTGAATCAAAGAAGGAAATTATAAAGGTAATGTCCCTTAGCAGAAGGTTCTGAATTCTGTCCCCTTAAAAATGTTCTTGAAGTTGCTGAACATCCATTTGTTTTTATGTGGGCTTTCTTTAGTTTGAGAGTTTGGGGTTTTTTTTTTGTTATTTGCTATTTGAAAAATAGAGTCAAAAGTTTTCCCCCCATCTTTAAGTAGCTGAGCCATGAAACATATAAGAAATTGGGGAAAGTTTTATCTACAAACAGTCAGAAGAATGCCAACAGATGGAAATTCAGAAGCTAAATTATTGCAGCAATATTTCCAGGAAAAACTTTTCTGAAAAATACAAAATTTTATAAAAGACACTTACAGTCCAGTGATTGAAAAGGTTATTACATCATTTGATGTTCATGAAAATTTCAAAAACAATTAGGAACTTGTTTGCTTTGAATCGTACTTTGTGTGCTTTGCTTTGAGAATAAATATCAAACTGAATAATAGCTGCTGAATTTCTTGGTGTTAAATTCTGTACTAAGCATGAGAATGCAGGTACTTTTCCCAGTCTTTTTCATGAGTGCTTTTCAAAGCAGATAGCAGTTTAATTCCTGTTGTCTTATTTCAAAATAAGGATATATTAGAGCTCACTTCAGCTGGCTCAGCTCTTTTAATATGCTATGCTGTGTTGTCAGATCATCAGTTACTTACCCCCAAATTTCAGGCATCATGCTGAAAACTTTCTATTTCTGATTTCCAGAAGTGGATGTCTGTATCTACAAAGCCTTCATAAAAATAGTTCAGCTCTTTTAAAGAATAAGGTTCAAAAAGGACTGCTAGATGTAGCTGTTCATCTTTTTGTTTGAAGAGAAGCTTTGCTTGTGTTCTTTGGTTATGAAAAAGTCGTGTTAAGAGATTGTGTATTACAAAAGCAGGGGGAAATAGGTGAAAGCAAACATTAAATGGTTGTACATGGATTGTCAAGTTTCTGCCCTTCTGAGGAGAAGGTTGGGGTAAGTGGCCCAACAAATAAGGAGACAGGTGTGAGAGCAAATGTTATGATTTCCACCTTTAAACAGCTCCTTTTAGAAGCTTGGTTAATGAAAGGAAAACTCTCACTTTGAAAATGCAGAGGCATTGACTCTTGGGGTATCCAGGGTGTTGTTTTGAAGGGAGCCTGGATCCCTGTTGGTGCTGTAATTGTATCCAGCAGTGCTTTGCAGCTCGGGGTGCACAGCTGAGGGCCTGAGGAGGATGTGTCCTCCTGTAGTGCCTGTGGCAGCAATGTCAGAGCTCAGCCTCCTCCCAGCTCCCAGACAGAGCTGTGTCTGCTCTGCTCCTTCCCACACCACAAGGTTGTGTTTAGAACCACTGAATGGTTTGGGTTGGGAAGGACCTTTAAAGGCCATCCAGTCCAACCTCCTGCCATGGACAGGGATGACTTCACTAAAGCAGATTGCTCCAGATTGCTCCAATCCAGCAGATTGTTTCTGTGGTTCTCAAGCTGGCCAGAGCCAGGGGAAAATCCCAAAGAGCTTGAGAGTTCTCAAATTCAGGTTGAGTTTCCAGTTAATGCAAACTAGAGAGGTCATTTCAAAATGATGCAAGCAAAGTTAGGCATAAGATAACACATATACATTCTGATACAGAGTAGAAATAATTACAGACAGGCTGCCTCGAGCCTGTTCCCTCCTGGCAAAGTTTTCCTCCAAGCTTGCTCTCAGTCTTTCTTTGATTTCTTGAGTCACTGCAAACCACACGTGCCTTAGCTTGTCACTGTGTGTGATTTTCTACTCGTCAGTCTCTGCACCAAACAAATCAACAGCAAAAAAACCCAAAAAACCAACAAACAACCCAACTGCTCCTAGCAGAATTCCTTCCCTCCTGGACAGTCTCCAGACTGCTCTGGGCTGCACTCCCATGAATCTCAGTTGCTCCCAGGAAATCTTGGTGCTTCAAATTTTGCATCTTCCCCAGAACACAGCAGCCCTGAAAAAAGGCCACAGCCTTTGCATGAGGACATTGAGGACATTTCAGTGGACAGCTGTTCTCCATCTCACCACGCTCCTCTGCTTTGTGTTAGCCTCAATGTCAGCAGGGAATATTCCCTTGGGGCCAAAACCAAACAAAACCCCTTTGTGGGTTTTAGCTTTTGTGGAGTACTTTAGCAGAATACTTTTTGTGGGTTTTTTATTTTGTGGTTGTCTGTCTCTTGTGGTTTTTTATATGTTTTACTGCATAGATATAAAAGCTTTATCAGAGGGTAAGATCCTGCAAGCGCTTCATTTGAAAAGTTCAGTGAAAATGTCTAGTATTCAGCTTTGGGGAACTTAATTGTAACACATTTGTATTGTAAAACAGTTGATTGAAGGTACTTATTTTCTGCTTCCATGCTTCAGCATTCTGGATGTTGCACTCCTGCTCTCCCCCTCCTCCATCACAAGGTGTAAAGCTCCTTCTTCACAGACTGGCAGATTTTGGGTTTTCTCATTTACATACATTTGGTTTGTTTCTAAAAACTGGGCTTTATACTAATGGCTATGGTGTACAGTAATTCAAACAACCAGATTGTTGCAAGAGTCTTGTCAAACTATGAAGAATTGAAAGCTTTAGTTTAGAAACATGTTGTGTCACCTGTTGTGTGGCCTTGACCTAGACCTGAGAGTGCATAAGTGTGATTTGAGTTACTGAGTTAATCCTTTGGTTTGGTTTCTTCCAGAGTAACAGCCTGGCAGAAAGCATTGCTAATTCCAAGCCAGAGAAGGACCCTCCAGATGTGGAGCTAAAGGCTGAGAATTTCATAGTTGATGTAAACACCTCTCAGAGCGGGTTCAAGTAAAAACTTCCCCATCACAGAGGGCCTTGTGTGGTGCAAGAACAAAGCCCCAGGGTGTCTGTGGCTGCAGCCTGGCTCCCTTTGAGGCTCAGAGGTTTCCTGTGGGGGGTTTGCTGTGGTGGGAGGTGTGGGGCAGGAGGGGGAGCCTCACTGGGCTGTCACCTGTACCCTGCTCCTGGTGACAAATGGGCTCTGTTGTCACTGTCCTCCCCCGACAAGGAGGATCCTGTGGGGTTTGATACCTGGCTGTCACTGGCAGCAGCCCAGGCACCACTGGGTGGGTCAGGGAGGCAGGAAACCCCCAGAGGGAGGAAGGAGGCAAAGTGACCTCCAGGTGCTGCACTCCTGGTGCCTGGCAGGCACAGAGCCCCTGCAGCCAGCAGTGTGGGAGGGAGGGAGCCTGGGGCAGAGGAGGGAGCTGGGGCAGTCTGCAGGCTTCACCCAGCTCCATCCCTGCTCTCAGCTCATTCTGGGAACAGGCACTGGCTTTCCACAGAGTGCATCACCAGCTGCTCCTGCAGTGCCCTTGCACTGAAGGTTCCCCTCACTGGGCCAGACTGGAGCAGCTCCCTGAGCTTTGCAGAATTTGCCTGGGCTTTTCCCATCCCACAAACTGAAATGGTAGGGAAGTGGGTCCCTGCTGACCACAGAAGTGTTGGTGTACCAGGCTGATGTAAATAATGTCTAAAGCTCATGTTTATGATTGTGAGCTCTGCTGCAGCCTCTGTAGGTTGTGTGTTTTGGGGAGGCCCAGGCTGGCAAGGGACTAGTCCACTTCCAGTGCTGGAAACTGGAATGTTCCAGAGCACAGCTGGGAGCTGGTCACTGTAAATGTGGATATCCACCTGGCAGCACCAGAGCAAGGGGGGGTAGAAGAAAATACAAATACCAGATTGTTTTTTTAAGTAATAATTTGTTAAATACTGTTTCATTTGATGACTGTAATTTTCAGGAGTGGGACGTGTGTGGCCTTTTGTATTTATTGTGAGAAAACTAAAGACAAACATTAACAAATGCCATATTTTTTTTTCACATGGAAGGTTATCAGCATGGATTATGGAATGAAGGAACAGAATCCAATTGATAAGGTTCACTTCTATTGCAAGGCTGATCCTTCCAAGGCAGTTAAAATCAGTAAAGAACAGGTAGGTTTGTACTTTCCTTCTGAAAAGCATTTTCACCACCTGTGATGGAAGTGATCACAGTCCTGGGTGGTTGTTCATGCAGGATTTGTGGAGAGGTGGTGGGATCCATGGCCTTGCAATCTTCAGTGTGTGTTGGACTGTGACAGTCTGGAACCCTGACAGCCTTTGCCTATGAACAGTATTTAATTGGAATACACTAGGAGTTGGAATATCACAATTGCTTTGGATAAAACTCATGGGTTGTAGTGGAGCTTCTTACTGCTTTCCTTCTGTATTCTAAGAAATACTAAAGCTTTTTTCTGTTTTATTTCAAAGGTTTCAAAGCTTTTACCCAAAATATTTATGGAGCAGGTTGTCCGGGTGTATTACAAAAGTCAGGACCCACGTATTATCTCAGCTGCAAAACAATACTTTGTTCAGTGGTGCATGCAGAATGATTTCACCAAACCACAGGTAACAAATCCACTCATTATATCTCTTGTTTAGAGCTCATAATCTTCTTCCATAAGCTTACTCTTTCAGTAACAAATTGGACATTCAGGCCTTGCCTTTGTGGCATAGGCCCCCACTCACTCACCTAACCCCTGGTTTTATCACAGCTCCCATCTGGGGGTGCTTTGGTTTCACTGGAGGCTGGAGACACCTGAAAGTACCACAGGATCACGGAATCATGGAATGGTTTGGGTTGGAAGGGGATTTTGAAGATCACCTTGTTCCAAAGCTCTGCCATGGCAGAGACACTTTGCACTAGACCAGGTAGGGGAGAGAGCTCATCCTCAAACAGGAGAGGAGTGCTGGGTAAACAGGCATGGAGAGCTGGGTGAGGCCTGTCCTTAAGGTCATTCTTCTGGCCTCTGTCTGTTAGAGCAGGTGATTTTAGAGGGGCTTTTTACAGATGGATCAAGCAGCAGCTCTCCCTGGTTGTGGAGTGTGGTTGTGTCCTCTGACACATTGTTCAGGTTCAGGCACCTCCACCCTGCAGAGCACAGCAATGTCCCTCTCAGCAGGCAGTTCCTGCTCTTGGGCAGCTGATGGGCTGTGTTGGGGTGCCTGAGCACAGATCACCCCCTGCACCTGCCTGGGTGAGCCCCCTGCCTCAGCTGCTGTTCAGCCCTGCTGGTTTCAGACAGTGCAGGGCACATCCAGCACAAGGGGAGCTTCATTCCAGCAGGGCTAATGAGGGGCTGTGCTGAGGTCACAGGAAACACTCCAGTGATTCTGTTAGTAGACCAGTGACCTTCCAGACTTTCTGGTAATAAACTGGGAAGAACCTGACTGCCAGTGGTGATGCCTTTTGTCTCCCCACCACTCACTGCAGCAGTTTCCACCTCTGGGATGCACAGCCACCAGTGTTTATTGATTTACAAAGATTCTGGGACCTTGCATTGATTTTTTCCAGTTCAGCCTCAGGGTGAGCTGCTTTTCCCTGGCCTTAGAATGGAAAGCAAAAGTGAATTAATGTTTCCTGTATTTTCATACTAGGATGGTGATGTTGTTGCTCCTCATCTAACTCCAATGAAGGAAACCTGGAATAAGATGACAGATGATGAACACAGGAGAGCCTCAGAACCCAGCTGCAAACAAAGGCTTTCTTTTGATAAGTAACAGGTTTCTTTTTGGTGCTGTTCAGTCTCCTTCCTCAGAAGCTGAGTAAATTTGAGCATCAACTTTTCTAAAAGCTGGTTGGACAGCCTGGAATAATTCACAGAACAATGCAGAATGTATTTTGCAATACAGAATGTTTTAATGTAGATACTTAAAGTGCATCTTCCAGATGGACTTCTAAACACCAATTTATTACAACAGAGTAAACTCAGTTCTCATTGATTTTTTAAATGTAGTGGCACTGTGTAGCAGGAGTAACTTTAAAAATTGCAATTCATTGTTATTACAAGATTTTACTACTCCATCCAGTCCTGGTCCCTTCCTCATGCATGACTTAGCAGGAAAAATCCCAAGCCAGGTTTGATGGGGTTTTTGGGGGGGTTGGGGTTTTCTTAGTGTCTGAGGAGGAGAGGGATAAGTATGCTTCTGAAAATACAGTGAGGTAAAGAAGAAATTACCACAGGTGTCATCTTCAAAATTAGCAAAATTAATTTAATTAAAAAAAAAAAAAAAGGGAGGGAGAGGGGAATCTTTTGATAATCAAAGATTAAATTTCTGGTATTCAAAAAGCTGGTGCAAGCCTCTTGCTACAAGTGACCACAATTTTTATTGCAGTAACAATGCATTGCACTGCCATGCAGCCTTTTATTGTTTTATTGTGTATTTTTGATACATAGAATGTTATATTTTTTACTGTCTGTCCTGCAAAGACTGCTCTAAAGGCCAGTGGTGTGAGTAGCTGCAGGAAGGCCAAGCTGCCCAGGTGTTTGCCAGGGCTCAGGTGTGCAGAGAGGGCAGTGCCAGCACCAAGAGCACCTTGGCTCTGCTGTACACTATCCTGGGCAGGCAGGCTCATCAGGAATCCCTCCATTCTTGTATCTGCTCTGTTCTCCTGGACCTCATGGCTGTCCCTGTGTCATTTTCTGTCTCTTGGAGATCTGTGAGGGTTCTTACAGTTTTCCTGTACTGGCAGTACTGGTGTGAGTGTTCTGAATGTCTGTGCTGTTGGACAAATGAAGACCATTTTCCTCTCATCTTTTACTCAGGTCTAAGAGGAAGGCTGCTTTCATTAAATAAAACCTCAAAGCTTGAAAAAGTCTGACCACAAAACTAAAAAGGTTCAGTAATGCTCAGGAATTGGAGCAATCTGTGGCCTTTATATCTGGGAAGGGGAGAGAGGTGTTGAACATCTGGCTCAGGCAGTCAGGTGTGGGTGGCCAGGGTAGGTCCTGAAAAACAACCCAGTGGGAAGGTGCTGTGATAGAACTCCACAACCCCTGTAATATTTCCTTTGCCCTTTTTATGCTGGGAACTGATGCTGTTGGAGGGAGGGAAAATGAGCAGCCAGGTGCTTCTGCTGCTTATGTGTCTGAAGGTGTAACCTCTGGTGCTCCTGTCTAACAGTATTTCAGACCTGCAGATGAACCAGATTGGTTAGAAGGGCTTGTGACTTCTTTAAAAGCTTTTATAAAATTTGCTGTTCCTCAAGAAACAATATCTTAGAAATATAATTTATCTCCCTTGTCTGCATAAGACTGAGTTTCATTTTGATATAATTTTGTTCTTGTTGATTTGGTTTGTTTTTAATTTGTTACTAACTGCACTTTATACTTGGAAAAGATCTTTTGTTTATGTTAAACCAAAAGCGTATACTTACATTTAAGTTCTGAGAGCATTTCTTTTCTCAACCTGTTCATCTGAGCCTCTCTGAAGAATAAATTTATAAACAATGATTTACTATTCTTTTAAAAAATTGCAGTGTGTGGACTTTATTAAAAACAGTCTTACTGTGCCATTGCAAGCAGCCAAGGTGTCTGTGGGAGAGCTTCCCTCTGCAGAGGTTCTTGGTTGCTGTCTGCTCGTGGGCTGCAGGCTCAGGGGGGTCCCAGCCCTGCTGGTGCTCAGTGTGCCCACCTGGCCCTGCCACAGCCTGGCAGCCACTCCAGGGCCAGGGCAGCTTTGGGTGCTGCTCCAGCTGTGGGGAGGGCAGGGGAAGCCCCGGATCACCTCCTGTGCTGAGGGGACAGGGCTGGTGTCAACCTCAGTGAGCTGGGCTGGGAGAGCAGGGCTGCACCAAGGCCTGGCTGCAGGACTGGGTTCACAGTGTGGGTTACCACTGGCACGGGCCTTGTGCTGGGGGTGGTGCTGGCTCCAGTTCCAGAGGCCCATCGCTGCCTGACAGGGCCCACCCTCAGCACGTTTGCAGATGGGGAGATGTGGCTGGTGCTCCAGGGGAATGTGCTGGGATCCAGAGGGGTCTGACAGGAACCTCCTGAAGGTCACAGAGGAAATGCAATGCCTGCATCTGGGAAGGGTAATTTCCTTCACCAGGGTATATTGAGGACACCCACCGATGAGGAAGTGTAGAGGAAGGGATTCAGGAGTTCACCATGACCCAAAGAATGTGCAACAACTCCTCTTTCAGCCAAGCGTTGCAGCAGGTACAGAACCCTTTCCCTCTGCTCCACAGCAGTGAGGCAGCCCTGGAGTGCTGGGCCCAGAGCGGGGCTGCCCAGGACGGGACACAGGGACAGACTGGACAGAGTCCAGCACAGGGCCATGAAGCTGATGGAGGGACTGCAGCGTCTCTGCCATGAGGAGAGGCTGAGAGAGCTGGCACTGCCCAGCCTGGAGCAGAGCAGGCTCAGGGCATCTCATGCCTGGGCATGAAAAGCCAGGGGGAGGCTGCAGAGGGGACAGGGCCAGGGACAGCCCGGGGGCCTCGGGCACAGAGTGACCCACAGGAGGGGCCCTCCGAGCTCAGGAGACGCTGCTGCACTGGGAGGGTGGCCGAGCACTGCCGCAGGTGCCCGGGGAGCTGGGGGAGTCTCCATCCCTGCAGAGACTCAAAAGCCACCTGGACACATCCTGGGCAGCCGGCTCCGGCTGGCCCTGATGGAGCAGGGGCTGGGCAAGGTGACCTCCAGAGGTGCCTCCAGCCTCCCCCAGCCTGAGCTCCTACCCCAGGGCCACTGGCAGAAGTGTGAAATGGGTCTGAAGTCGGGCTCTGTGTCAGTGAGGGGTGAGGCAGTGCTGGGATTAGGAAAAGGTCCTGGTGGACACAAGGGTGATCCCAGGGTTTGGTGTTGTGCAGCCGCTTTGAGCAGGGAGCATTGGGTGGCACCAGGCACAGGGGCTGGGTGCCCTGAGTTGGGTGCCCTGAAGGGCTGCAGGGGGCTCCAGGCACGTGTCACTGGGGGTCTGGGACAGTGGAGGGGGTCAGTGGCACTCTGCAGGTGAAGGGGGGAGATATGAAAGGGGTATGAGAGGGTTGTGTTGAAAATAGGGCTGGTCAGTGTGCCTGAGCCCTGCACCATCCTGTCTGTCCTCTTAAATCCATTTTCACCTGTTTCTCTGTGAAGCTCCCAGCCTGTGTGCATGTGTGCTGCAAGGTAAGTGCCAGCTGCTGGAGAGATGGCACAGGCTGGCCATGCGAGATGGAATCAGCAGGGAAAGGACTGCCCACCATTGCACAAGGTACTCACGGGCTGGGAGGGTAGGTGGGTGTAAAGCTGGGGCTCTGTGGGATGCAGGCCTCACAAAATTGCAGATTTAGGGACAGGAGCTGACATCAGGTGAGGTCATGGGATGATGCTTCACCTGGATGTCCAGCTGTGCTCCCACGATAAATAATCAACCGTGGTCAAACCAGACAGGCCCTTGCCCTCCAGTGGAACCCCCTGAGCCACCCCTGCCTGGAATCCCCCTGAAGGGCTGGGTCTGCTGCTTGGACGGGGGGGTGGACGAGGAGGAGGAGGAGGAGAGCTGGCTCAACCTCCAGGAATGAGGCTAAACCCTGTCAGCCAGGCAACAGATTGTGGACCTCTGGCTGGGAAGGGCTCTTGTCATCCCCTCCTGAGGAGGAAGCCCCGGTCCTCACAGGGTGACAGACAGAGGGTGTGACTGTGCCAGAGCGGGGATGGGTCCCTGGAGCAGTGCTCCAGGCTGACCCCCCACTCTTGCTGAGGCCACACAGCCCAGGCTGGGACAGGGGATGGCTGTCACAGCTGCTGGCCTGTTCCCCACTGTGTCCTGCACACCTTCACAGAGCCACTCAAGGGGCAAGGATGTGGCCAGGAGAAGTTTATTGAGGAATGGTGGCCGTGCTGTCCCCAGCAGTGCCAGAGCCAGCCCTGGGGCAGAGGCTGCCTGGGCTGGCTCAGTCCCAAGGTGTCACTGCTCTTGGAGCTTCCTTCTCCCTGTGGGGCCCTGCCGTGCCAGCTCTGCCTGTGCCCTCCCCTGGGGCAGCTCTGCCTCATCCCAGCCGGGTGGTTTGGGGTCGGGCTTGTGGTTAGGGTTGGGGCCAGGAGCAGAGTTAGGGTTCGGGTTCGGGTAAGTTGTGCTGTGCCACTGTGGGCCCATTGTGGCTCCGCAGCCACACGGCAGCAGCACTGCAGGCCTGAGCCCCGCTGCTGTATTTTCCAATCACGCTGCCCCCACCGGCTGTTCTTTCCCTGTGAAATCGGGATATTATTGGGAGCAGGTGAAAGGAGGAGGGGGTGAGGCTGGAGGCATCCCGCAGGCTCTGCAGGTGCTGTCAGGGAGCAGCTGTGCTCGAGACATCAGTCCAAAGAATCCCCTCTCCTGCACATTTTTCCTTGGGTGCCTTTGTTGGGGTCAGGGCAGGCCCCACATTTCCAGATCCTGGATGCAGAACTCCTCCCGCTGGGAGAGGGTCTCGTTGTCGAAAGTGTCGCAGCGCTGGCTGCCCCCGCGGTGCAGGTCCCCGTCCAGCCACAGCCCAAACCTGCCGCTGCCAATGTGCCGAGAGCGCGGTCAGCTGCCACCGCCCCTCCATGGCCGGAGACACCCACGCCACCTCCCGGGCCAGCGGCCACCTCCCGTGCTCACTGTCTGCTCCCCAAAAAGGACGTGGGATGGGACAGGCAGCTGGGCCAGGTCTGTCACTGTGCCTGCAGGCAGGGAACGGCAGGGAAGGGGCTCGGGGCGGGCAGGGAAGGGGCTGGGGGCGGGCAGGGAAGGGGCTGGGGGCGGCAGGGAAGGGGCTGGGAAGGGGCAGGGAGCGGCAGGGAAGGGGCTGGGGGCGGCAGGGAACCGGCAGGGAGCGGCAGGGAAGGGGCTGGGGGCGGCAGGGAACCGGCAGCCCTTCCAGCAGGCAGTAGGGTCAGGGGATGAAAGGCCCAGCCCTGCTGGACAACCCGTGCCAGTGTTTTGGGGTTCAAACCCTCACGATGTGCTTGGCCCCAGCTCCGTAGGGCAGCCGGGGTTCCTGTGATGGCTCTGGTGGCCATCGGGGCTGGGGGCCCTCTGAGCCGCTCAAGTTGCCAGTGCAGTTCCTACCTGCCCCCACCGACCATCAGCAGATTCACATCCCCGTTCACAAAGAAGTCGTTCCTGCCCGTCCACCTGAACACCTGCATGGGGACAGCACACAGGGGGCCGTGGGCTGGGCAGTGTCCCTGTCCCCATTCGTGTCCCTGTCCTGCGAGGACCAGCCGGGGGCTGCTGAGCCAGGCTGGCTCTGCTCGGGCATCTCCGTGTTCCACATCTCCAGGAGACCCGGCCGAGACTGTGGTTCGCATCCATCCCTGCCAAGAGCCCTGTGGGCCCTGCCAGGGCACAGCTGCCCCCACTGACGCTCCACATTCTGCCAGCCTAGAGCTGGGCTGCGACCGCCCTGCCATGTGGAGGGACCCCGGTGACAGATGGGCAGGGTCCCCTTCCCTGAGCTTCCCTCCCCGACACTGCCTGGGATTCGCGGTCTCCCCTAGCCCCTGACAGCCCCGGGGGCTGCTGCCAGCCCGGTCCCCCGGCTGCTGTCCCCGGTCGGGCCGAGCGC